ATGCTTCTAGGTCTCCAGGTTACGGATGTTGAGGGATGTTGCCGGTTTCGGGCTTCGGGCGCTGGGTTTATGCAACCCTAAACCCCGAACCCTAATACCCTAAGCCCCATAAACAACCCTAAACCAGGGAAAGGCAAACCTGGGCCTCTATAACTCCGCAATCTGTACCACGCTTTGCCGGGGAATGCTCATGGCTCCTGACTGGAGCGTCAGGTCAGCTTCCTAAGTCACGGCCCCTTTTTGGCTGTTGGTTCAGGGTTCCTACTTTATAATGCGGAGCCTCATGTTTAGGGAGCGCGCGCCAACAGGGACCCATCCTTTAAATACCTGCGCATCTCGCCTCCAAGTAATTTGTGAGTGGCGGCGCCATCTTTCAGTTGATTCATGGATAGGGTTTGGGTTTAGGGTTTTAAGGGTTTTGAAAGCTATGCCTTTCTCATTTCAAGTTCAAGGATTTGGCCATGCCTCCCGATGCCTACCCGAATACTCTCTCAAGCATGAGGACGCCTCGAACTCATCGTGCTGCTGGTCCATGCTCCGTGCAGGACTTTGACCAAGGTCGGGCTCCGGTTTTCGCATTGAGCTGTTAAAAACCCTTCGTCATCATCAGGATACAAACTCCAAGCATGTCTCTGACTCTGCAGTATATGATTGAAACACACGTGCCCAACCCGTTGACGGTGGGAAGGCGACTGAGCCATAAAACTCAGCAGGACCAGCGTGAAAGATGCATCGACAACAAGTACACATAGCGCCCTAACGATCTTGAAGGTTCATACGGTTTAGGGTTTCGGGTTTAGGGCTTAGGATTCAAACTTCTCTCAAGGTCTGAGCCCAAAAGCCCGAACTTCAAGGCTTAATTTGAACCCTAGGCCCCGAAGTCACACAAACCTCGAGCACCTTTGGTATTCTTGGTGGTGTTTTTCCCGCGGGCTACTTATTTGGCTGTCTTAAAGGGCCCGCGGTGTGAATCGCCTCGGACATATTCATCAGGAAACAGTATTATTGACGAAAAGAGCTACATTAGTACCCTTAACTACAAGGGAACTAGTGAACCGCGTTAATAGAATTCATGTGTGAGCGAAGTGAGTGAAATTTGGGAGCCTTAACCCCCCAGAAACCTGAACAGCCGAGCCACGAGTCGGGAAGCCCCGCGCGCAGGGGATCTACTGCTTTAGGGCTTCGAGAGCTCCGGGGGGGTTTTCAGCCCCGAAGGCCTGACGGGGCTTACTGCTCTTAGAAGGCTGCTGTGCTTTACAGGACTTATCCTAAAACCCTAAACCCCTAAACCCTCACCCCTGTAATTTAGGGTTTAGGGTATAACCACTAAGCCTACAGGTCTTTGAGGGGCTTGCACGGGTTTGAGACTGGCATCTGGCGGGCTCGAGAAGCCTTCCCAAGAAAGACTGTCAGAGGGATCGCCACTAGACAGCCCCAGCCTCCGAACAGAGGGGCTCAATCAGAATCGGGTTTTAGGGGGTTTACTCCTGTATACTTCGAAAGGGACCATAAGGGATTACGATTAGTAGTTATTCCGACCCTGACATTAATCCTGTAGGGGTGAGGGTTGAGGGCTTAGGATTTCCTGTTAAGATTGGTCCCCTATGTAGCTCCCTGTTGGGGCTTCAGTTCGGGCTTGCAATCAAGACAGGCCCTAAAGTTCAAGGGATCACAGACCGCCAAGCCCTGAACCCTAAACCCGAAAGTGTGAGGCGGAGAATCTATATAGTTGAACTTTGCTCAGGTGAGTGTGGATGTCCTGGCCTACACAGCTTTAGCTCTAATCACCCGAACCCCGACTCCCAAACCCCTAAGCCATCCTAAGCCCTTCAACCCTCAGCTCGACTCTTGTACAACTGCGCTCTCAACCGAAGACCTCCGCTGGAAAAAAAGGCAGCGCCCAGCCCCATGCTCAACACGGAGGTTCCCAGATTTAGGAACGTAAATCGTGAGACTCAGATGAGGGTTGCTCCAAAAATGAAAGTCCGTTAGGCAGATCCTTGTTACAAGACTCTCGATTCGGAAAAGGAGTGGGGACAGGGACCCTTGTATAGAACAGCTCCCAGATCAAAGGGCAACCCCAACTTAAACTTAACCGCTGTACACATTCTGCACGGACCTCTGCCAGCAGGAGTCGGACGTCATCGTCAAGAACTCCAATACAAACAGCAGCCACACTAGCAGTCACTAGCATGCGCGTCCTTGTCATCTTGATGATTTTGGGGGTGTAGCGGTGTCCGCGACTTAGACAACCAGACTACCAGCCAGTGTCTTCCATTCGCCAGCCAACCCTTCAGGTCGTCATTGGGCGCTGCAGGGTGGGTCTTGCATCCGAGATTATACACTATTACTTGGCACTAGAAGGCTGACTTTACCGCTGTGACCGCAGTGTCCTTCACGTACTCCTCGTGACCGTCGGTGAAGCGAACTGTCACGTTTGCATAGTTTCGCTCGTGAAAATGCAGCTGGATCAAGCCCAGCCGGCCGTGATAGGGGGAAGACCTGTGGTTCAACCGTACACGCTGACCCACCAACAACCGCTTTCCAGTCTGCTTCTTTGTCCCAAGAACAACCGTTCCGATGATTTGGAGACAGGGTGGCTCATACCACAGGCCAACTCCCCGGTCAAAACGAACTCGGATCCCATTTGTTGGGTGCAAGAAATCCACCACCCCAACTTGGTTGCAAAACTCATCCATGTACCCGAAGTAGTCATCACGGTTGGCTGCATCGAAGCCAGCCATCACGGTTGCTGCATCTCGCACGCGCACAATGCAGTCAACTTCGAAAGGCTCCAGGGAGAGTGACTCTGGAACAGCTCCGCCTCCAAAGAAGGAGGATGCCTGGTCCAGCAAGTCAGGGTGGATCAACTCTTCTTTTTGCCCAGCATATCTCACCAGCAGCTTGTCATCTGCTGGTTGGTGACACAGAAACACAGTTCCCACCTTCCCAAGCCATGCCGAATCACCAGAATCTTGATTGACACGAACCTTTTGCCCACAGAAGAATCGCACGTCGGCGCCATCACGAGGCGGAGGAGAGCTCACATGGTACAGGCACATCGGCTCCAACCAAAAGAGTCGCTGGACATCCCTCAATCGAACGCCGACGCCATTTGTGGCATGCCTGCGTGCAACGACTCCCACCTGCCCTGCCAGCTCCAAAGCTTCGGCTTCAGTCAAGTCCAGGCGATTTGCAACTTCAAAAGCTCGGAGCAGGTGGGAGGCGTCCTTGACTCGCACTTGGCAGCCCATCGGAAAGCGTGATAGACTCACCGGAAGCGATGAGGTCAAAGAATGCTGTTCCCGATTCGTCGCCCCAAGCCGCAATATTGCCTGCGGGAGGCAGTAGCACGACAACATGTGCAACTTCAGCTCGACGCCGAGAGTATCGAGGACGAACTGCCTTGAGTCTTGCTGCATGCTCCTCGACAGCCTGGTTCCTGAGGCCACTTCCAAGTAGAACCCTTCAATCCCCGGCGAAAGGACGTGCCATGACGAGTGGTGTATGCTAGGTCCTCACCAATCAGTACTTCGCAAGTTGAAGGCAGATAACTGCATGGGGCCCTTCCTTCGTTCTAGCTTCTGGCGGAACCAAACCCCAAAGAGGGTAATCACATGGTACTCCGAGTTCTGCTGAGCAACCAAATGCCTCCAATCTGCAGGTGCGACGCTGAACGACCACGTGGTGGCATGTCGGTAGTGGTTCATTCAGTGGCATATCACTATATATATATATATATATATATAGTATATACATATGTATACAGTGTCCAAGATGCATTTCTACTACAAGAGCGTGCGCTGTCACACACATAACTTTCAAAACCTCTACGGCGGCTGATATGATATGCTACAATCGCGTGGATGAGCAAAGAGTGCCTACACAGGCACTGTCGACGGGTGCTGACATTGCAAGGTGTGCGAATCGTTCAGGTGCATTCAAGCATTGTGCGCATCGTTTTCAGGCTAAACTTGCGCTAAGCCCCCCGAAAGGCTTCTTGCCAACTGATGGGCTCCTTGGGCTATGGTTCCAAGACCCTAAACCCTAAACCCTAAACCCTAAACCCTGAACCCCATAAGGAGCCATTGCTAGTCGCAACTTTGTACATGGTCCTTGGCCTGGCTTGCACGAGTGGGCACCATACATTCACGACCCCGCTTCGCACCTTTGTCTTTGGGGGCGGTTGATAAGACGCCCTTGTCTTCCGTCCTGCAACCCTAAACCCTAAACCCTAAATCCTAAACCCTAACCCCTATCAGACCTGAAACCCTCGTTCCATATTCACTCAAGCATTTGTAGCCTGGCCAAGGTCGCTTGCAGCGGCTCCAGCCTCTAAGCCGGGTCAGGTGCTGGGGCCTGTTCGGCAGCTCGGCCTTGGACTTTGGGGGGCTTTTTTCGGTTCAGATTTATGCGGGCTTTCATTGTGTAGGGTATCATTTTGGGCGTGAATTATTAAAAAAAAAAAACGGTCATTGTGTAGGGTATTTTGGGCTGTAGATATAGAATGCTTATCATGGCTTAGGAAACAACTCTGACCTGCAACTCTTTGAGATTGCTCCGGCTGGCGCTTGGACTTCTAACCCCTTGCGACTGGCGAAGTGACCACTGTTAAGTCCTACGCCCAAGCCGAGGATTACCATGCATTCCCTGAAGTTTAGGGTTTAGGGTTTAGTCTCAGAACTCTTGATACTGGAACTGTTCACATCTCAGCAAAGCTGCAGAACCTAGGGGCGGACAACATTCATCAGTGCTTAGCCTGCAAACCCTACAAGCTGGAAGGCTTGGGGTAAACGGGGCCGCGAAATGTTACCAGAAAGACTTGCCTGTGTATCCTTTCGCCATCGGGGCTCCATCGACCATTGCTAGCAATGTGGTTATTCACAGTGCGTGTGTTATTGATATTTCTTCTTCTTCTGCTTCTGGGTGCTTTGGCGGTCTAGGTCGGAGGCCTAGTGGATTTAGGCTTCATTGTTCTGCGGGCCCAGCACAGCGCAAAGCAAAAAGCCGTGTCACTTGTGGCGTGTGCTGAACCGTTCCGGCTTGCAAGCAGGTCGGTCGTGCAGTTTCGATGCTCTAGGGGAACCGTGATGGATCCACACGCAGCGTCCCTGGTAAGCTCTTGGCATCACCAAGGTTCGAGATCAATGTGAACCTTAGCAAGCTCCGAACAGCATTCGGCAAACACGCTTGGCAGGCCCCAAGCAGTCTGAGAATAAAGACAAAGCCCAGGCAACCAAAAGCTTTGACAAGCAACTTCTGACGGCGTTGCGCAGAGAGTCAACAACACCCATGATACGAAAGGCAAGCGTCGTATTGAAATCAGAACCCAAAGAGGAAGACAACTTCAGCCCAAAAACCAAACAACCTGGATCCCACAGAAAAGCCCGAGCTGTAGGAACCCCTACGAGGGCCAAACTTGTTCCAACTAAGCCATCTATCACGAGCCTTCTAACCCAAGACCACAAACACCCAAAACCCCAAAGCCCTTAATTCCGTAAAACCCCAAACCATCCCTAAAAGACCCCTTAAAGACCCTAGAAACCCCCCCAAAAAAAACCCTGAACATCCTAAAGCCCGAACCCTCAGCCCCATCCTCCGGCCCGCGCATTCTTGAAGTCCTGTAGCTCAGAGCGAAGGGCGCGCTCCACCTGAGCTCCCGGTCATCTTAAAGTGGGTTCGGTTTAGGGCTTGGGTTTATAGGGCTTAGGGCCTTCGGGCTTATAGGGCCTTCGGGCTTAGGGTTAGGGTTTAGGGCTTGGTGTTCCATGTGGGTGGCTCTCTAAGTCACGGGGCTCCAAAGTTACGGGCCTCTGGGATTCCACTTACAAACGGGTGCTACTATGGAAGGTTCCTAAAAAAAGGGGCCCCACTTCGAACCCCCGGGCTGAGGTCTCATCGTATGATTAGTCCTCTGATTTATGTCTCCCATCTTTCGGGGAGGCTCCCAAAGTGGAAGAGGCGCCATAGAGGGTGTAGGGTTTAGAGCTCAGAAATGCTGAGAGGGTTTAGGACTCAGAGGCTGCAGACTATAGACTGTACATACCTGGCTTCACGGGGCTTGATGGCGTGTCACTCTGTCCATGAGGGAAAGCAAGTTGAACATTGGGTACTCTTCCCGTAGCTCAGGGCGCAGCGTCCTTTAACTCCCAGGCAAGGGCTTCGTAGAAGACATTGTTGTTTCGGAAGAGCCTCGGCTTGCAGAGTTCTGGGCTTTTGTTTTGCTGTTGGGGTGTTGGGTTGTCGGATGCGCTCCGAGGTAGCTACACTTTACAGCTGCTCTTCCAAAGATAGATGCCGCACACCGGCTGCGGGTGCCCAGCCTGGATCCCCCGAGCCCTTAAACCCTAAAAGTCTACAAACCCCAACCCCTCAACGACTCAACCCCTAAAACCTCCAAAGCCCCTCGAAACCTCTAAAGCCCTTGGCACGCGGACCTTTTTCTTCACCCTTTCGCTTGAGTAGAATCGGCACGGGTGTGAGGACGCCAGCCAGTGAAGAGGCCCTGAGACGCACAGCCACTTAATTGGGATTCTAAGGGGATCTTAGTACCCCAAGAAGGTTCAAGGTTACCTACTCTACTAAACCCAAGTCATCCTACCAAGTCATCCTAAACCCTCCTTAACGAACTAGGTTCTCATAAAATTGTATACTCAAAGTCCGCCCCCTAAAAAGTACCCATAATAGTTGCATACATACCTTGTTTTGGGAGGCTCTGATGATGAGAGCAATGGGTACTTTGGGGTTGCGGGTCGGGGTTGCGCATGAGAGCGGAGAAGGCGGGACAGTGAAGTTGGGGTTCGGAAGCATGGGGGGTCTGTTCTAAACTGGGGCATCCCTCATTGAAGGTTAGATCTCCTAAACCCTTCAACCCTCAACTGTTACCTATATTAGCAGGCCCTAGTTTGGAGCAACGCCCCCACCCGAACATCACATGGGCTTCGGCCCATCCAGAGTGTCCAAACACACGAATGCTTCTATAACCGAACCCCGCAATCTCAAGCCGCACATGGCAGGGAGGAGCTGTCTGGGCACACATATTAATGCATGGCTCACGGCCCAAGAGGCCAGACGTAGCCAAGGTTGCAGCATGCTGCAGCTCTGGATTTTGGGTTCAGGGTCCAGGGGTTTAGGGTTTAGGAAGCGCATCTTAACAATATGATTCACAAATATCTGCTTAGACTGAGGCAAGAACACCAGATAGGGCAGCGCTCCCGGTGCCCTCTTGTGGGAGGCGCTAACCTCCGGGGTGCACTCTGGCGCACGCAGCTGGGATGACGGAAGCCATGTTACTGTTTTGTGTGCATATCAAAAAATATCACAACCACAAAATGCAGTACACACACAGAGAGAGGGAGAGACATATGGATGGCTCCATCCTCCCAAAGGATCTGCCTCGAAGAGGTCGGCTGACAGCATGGGCGTGACCTGATGTGGATGGAGTCTGGATTCCAGGAGCCCTACTACCAGTCTCTCTAAGTAGCCTTTATTATGGGGGGAACCTAGGAGGGGAGTATTGAGGGGAGTAGTAGGGGACTGGTAGTATCGCTTCTCAGTATCTGCGAACAAAAAGGAACCGGCTACTCTTGCTCTTGGTGGCTTCAGGATGTCTTGCCGCGTGAACCACACTTCCATCCAGGCAGCTATGCGGGCAGCTGCCCTGGTGGAGGTGATGAGGCTGAGATTTCGAGCCCGCTCCTGACCCAAGAAGACTTGGAAGCAGCGCAGGTAAGGAGTGCTTGCTTTGGGCCTTCGGGGTTAGGATTTGGCGTGTATGCCAGCTCCATCTTGGACCCCAAAGGTTGCACATTTGGGATTAAGGGGGGCTTCCTCAGGGCCTTCCTCAAACCATTGGGAAAACAAGGGTTGCGTAAGGAGTAGATCAGGGAACCCTTTGGTGGTACAAAGCGCAGGGTGCGAGCTTTGATCACACGATCTACGCAAAAGCCACGGAGGACTGGCATCAAAATGTGCTACTGGACCTGGAATCAACACAAAGCCCACAAGCCAGTAAAGGATGGCCCAGGCTTGAGAGTGAATGCAGCAGCATTTCTTGTTTTGGGGAAATTGGGCGTTTGGGGTGTTGAGGGGTTTGGGTTTGTGGTTTTGGAGGCTGCGAACCAATAATCTTGAAGACGAACAGCCCCTCTGACTCTCCAACAGACACCTGCCAAACAGGGGTGAGCTGTCGACCCTGCTCCTACAATCATCATGCACCCTGACCACGAAACAGGCAGAATACGTCTGAGCATGGCGAACTCTAACGTCTAAGAGCGAACACCAAGAAGCCCTGAACTGCAACCCTACACTCCAATCCCCAAACCCCTCAGCGCGTACAGACCCCCCCAAGCCCTTCCTTAAGAGCTCCTATCTCCAAAACCTACATCTAACAGGTTTGGGCTATGCAACCCTTTTTAGGATTCTTAGACCAGCCTGCAACAAACCCTACACCCTGACACGTTTCTGGGAGCTCTTGGAGGGACAAGGGGGCGGCCCAAGAGAGAGGCCTCCGAGGTCTTCGAATCCACAGCGACGAGGGTGGCAGTGGATGTGTCCTTCAGACGGCTCTGAAGGCTTTAGGGGATTAAGTTTAGGGTTTGAAAGGATTAGTAAGTTCGGGCAGGCCCTAATTACTCCTCCCAAGACCCTTATTAGTATCAGATACTTAGGTATGGAGGGCTGGCTTTGAACTGGGCGCTCAGGGGACTTCAGGCTTCTGGTCTGTAGGTTCAGAAGAACAAGGAGAAAGCGCGTAAGAAGTACATAGCCCAGGTAAACCTTAGAACTTGTAAGACCTCCCACTCCTTTTGGATATCTACCCCTAAACCCTATACCATCCAGAAGCTGATAAACAAACACCAAGAATCCTAAGCCCCACACACCCCGAGATCTCTGAAGTCTCCATCCCTGCCACCCACATGCTCCATGCCTCGGACTCCCCTTTTGGAGTAGGTTGATTTACTGGGTTTTGTGTCAGGGTTGTGGAGGTTCAGGGGCCTTATAGGGTGGTTTGATGGGTTTGTGTTAGGGTTTTGCAGGTTCAGGGTTTTTGGCAAGGGCTTTTGGGCCACAATAAGGGTTTCCCACTGCGACACCCCTGGCATTTGCCCGAGACACAGCGATGCCGCTTCCCAGGCGCACCAGCAGGTACAGCGCTGTGTGAACTGTGCCGTGGCCAAATGGAGGGGAGACTTGAGGGTACCATATCCTCCCCCATACTTCCAGGGACCTGTTTATCTTGTCCTTAAGGGTTCTAGTAGCCAAATTGTTAGGCTAACATTGTTAGGTCCTTCAAGCACAGGGCTGAGCTGGATTCGGGGTGGGTGTGTTGACGCCTTCAGGCGCGTGGGATTCTTAGAATGCCCCCCTGAACCCTTGTCACCCTGAATCGACGTGGTTCTTGCACGTAAAGAGGGCCGAGGGTTTAGTGTACGTCGCGCAAACCCCAAAGGGGCCCAGGGTAGGAAGGCAAGGGCACTCATTGAGGGGATTGCGGTGGCTATTGAACCCCCTTAGGATAGGCTCCGTCAAGACTCCGGGCCCCCCAAACACTGGTAAGCCCAAAGTCCCCAACCCTAACCCTAAACTTGGGCCAGAAGTAAATCTCTAAACCCTAAATTTACTAAATGCCACAAATCCCTAAACCCTATAAACTTCGGCCATACATCCCTGAGCCCTCGAGGCCAAACACCCCAAACCAGGCCTGGCTGGCGCCAGATCAAGGAGAAGCCGCAAAGACCCACAGAGACCCCCAGGAGGCCCAGAGCGCAGGCCTCAAGTGCGCAACTTGGGGCTTCGGGTTTAGGGTTTAGGGTTTAGGGTTTAAGGTTTAGGGTTCAGGCGCACAACTTGGGATGTCTATATAGGGCTCTGGGCGGGCTTGTGTTGCAACTGTGCTGCCATGTTGGCTCCAAGACATCCAACCTGGGCAGCAGAAACGGTCTGGGGATTACAGCTCGACGCCCTAATTCCTAAACATTAAAGATCTTGGCCTAAACTCTACCCCCTTACTCCTAAGTCCGATCACTTAGAGTGCTGATTTTTGGAGGCTCGGGGCACTGGGATCATCCTGGAAGCACTCCGACTAGCCTCAATGCAACCCAGAACTCTTTGGGTTGCAAGGTTTCTGGGTTGAAGGATGCCTTTGAAGAGCCATGCCTGCCAAGCAACGACCCGTGGAAATATGGCAATTTGTGTCAGGACGGTGGTCGCGGCACCGACGGAGAATGTTGTACTCAGTCTGGATTGGCCATAGCCTGCACCAGTTTAGGGTTTAGGGTTTAGGATTTATCGTAGTGTGCATACATGGTGGTGGCTGTGTATGCTGCGCCCGGCTTGGTACGGGGGAGCCACAAAGAAATCTGGGGCCACCATAAAGAGAATTTCCCGTGACCCCAAGACAAAGTCGGGGGGGGGGGTGGGGAGAACCTCTACAGCCTCAGACCTGAAGCCAAGGCCCTCGAGGCCTCAAGCCTTTAGGGCGCCTCACAGCCTGAAGCTTTTCTGCCTTCTTACAGCCCCCCTGGGGCCGGGCATCGATACGAGAGCGGGTGGCCCAAACAAACAGATCCACGACTCCAGCAAAGGTTCATCTTGGCAGGTTTGGCGTCGCGGGTTTAAGAATGTCCAGTGTATCATCCCACCGGGGTACCTTATGATGCTTGAGTTGCGATGAACTTCCTTTGGGGGTCTAAGTATCAAGTATATATGTACGTAATGTATATATATACATGATAAATATATAATATGATTATAATATATATATATATACATACATATATGGGAATGGGATGACAAGCAGACTGAATTACATGCCCAGCATTCTGAGCTGCTCTGAGTGTCACCGATATCCCGCACAAGACTGACAAGGCACGTAAGCCTCAACACCATTCAGACGAGCGTTCCCTCAAGCATTCTTCACATGTGCTAGTATTGTATCTGTAGTCAAAGCAATGTAACCCAGGAAAAAGCCTTGCATGAACCGTTCAAGAACTCTTCGTCGCCTCTCTCTTTTTTCTCAGAAGTCTCTATGCACGGGTGAAAGTTGTCACTTTTGGAACACTTCCGTAGGTCGCCTAGGCAGCGGTGTGCGAAGAGGCAGTAGGTACTCACCTCGGTGGGTCATCTAGTTCTCGATCCCGCGGGGTTAGGGTTTGTGAGGGTGTGGAGGGTTCAAGGCCATGAAACGGCTTCCCAGCTCACAGGTTTAGAACTTTCGGTCCGAGAGACCCCTCTTGCGTCCTGGCCCAAAACTACCCAAGCAGGTGGAGGGGCTGAGGCTTAATGATTGACGCGCACAAACACGAATAAAACTCGTCACCTCGAGCTTCTGACAATGTTGGAAGGTAGAAGCAATGTCTACTGACGCGGCCGAATCTTCGCACATGGCACTCGAAAGCAAGTCGCACTTTCCCGGAACTCACCAAGCTATATCATGCTATCCTAAAGTAGCAACCTGGAGACACCGAGCCTGAAGACACCAGGAGCTCAACAAGATCAGACATGCGAAAACTGTGAACACCAATACCTGGAAACCAACCCTAAACCCTGAAACCCAAATCCTTTGGGTCTGAGACCCACAACTCAAGACAGCCATGGCTGCCAAAGGGCACTGAGCGTGAGCCTGTGTATGGATGAGGCGTGTGGACTGGTTCTTCGGATTTAGTGGGCTTTAGGGGGTTGTAGGGCACTTAGGGTGTCAAGGGCTTTAAGGTTCTTGTGGGTTTTTGGCGGCATAAGGATTCTGGGGAGTAGGCTTTGCCCAAATCTGCGAGGTTGGGAAGGTGCGCGTAGTCCCTTCTATTGGAATGGAGTGTCAAATGATAGCTGCCCTAAATCGAAAACCCTAAACCCTATAAGCTCCAGCCCCTGAAACCTCAGGCCTGCGCTGAGAAGCTCCAAATTCTCAACATTTCCAAATTTGTTTGGTTTTGGCGGGGGGCCCTAAGTGAAGACAGTGTAAGAGTAGAGTTGTAGAGCTTCATAAGCTTTGAGGCTTTGGGGGCTTTTAGGCTTCACACGCACTGGCTGAAGGTCGGGTGGCGACCAGCCCACAGTCAGCGCTACAAGGCGAAGAAGCCTTGGAGAGCTGGAGTTGAGGGCTACGATCTTTGGATCTAGGGTTTAGGGTTCAGGGTTTAGGGTTCAAGGTTCAGGGTGTAGGGTTTAGGGTTTAGGGTTCAGCAGTGCATTGCATGTTTAAACTCTAAAACCCACTCGAACAACAAGGGGGTCTTACGAGGTAGCGGACCTCCTTTTTACCTTTAAGGGCCATGGGAGCTAGGTTCAGCGGCACAGAGATGCGCTTGGGGTCGAAATTGGTGGCAGCTGTGAATATGTTGACGATGGCCTAGACCCCAATGATGCTTCGTGCCCAAACAAGCAGGGTGAAACATACTGCTGCGCGCGTTTCCTTCAATATATACTCGAATATAGCCCCGCCAACCTGACAAGCCTTTCCGGATCAAGCAGCGGCTGAGCGAAGCGGCCCACTGCGCTCGGCGCAGACGTCGTGAGGACTGCAGTTGGCCAGAAGACTAGAAAGAAGACAAAAAACTGTGAGCCTTGGAGGCCTAGCCAGTAGCCCTAGCCAGTAGGCCTAGCCAGTAGGCCTAGCCAGTAGGCCTAGCCAGTAGGCCTAGCCTTACGCTTCCCCGCAGAAGATTCTACCATGTTGTGGTAGAGCTTCTGAAGCCAACAGCTTCCAAATGCCACACAACTCCTGCTGAACGGTCAATCTAGGACAAGGTTTAGGGGCTAAGTAGTGTTTAGGGATAAGGCCCATGCACATCATAATTTACGGATGTATGCATGTCCAAGTCGCACCTCTGGGTACGCGTCGAACCCAAAAACGCTAAACCATCCGAAGCCCTAAGCCGAGGCGGCGATAGGGTCTCAGGGATTTTCGGCTTAGAGGCCATGGTGGGCTTCAGGGTTTAGGGTCCAGGGCTGAAGGTTTTAAAGTCTTGAAGACCTTGCAGGTTTGTCACGGCTTCGGGTCTGGAACTGAATTTCTAAATCCTCCCTGGCACCCATGAAGGGGACACAAAGCCCGAACTTCAAAGCCTCGACCCTAAACCCTAAACCCTAAACCCTAAACCCTAAACCCTAAACCCTAAACCCTAAACCCTAAACCCTAAACCTATCCCGCAAGCCCAAGGCCAGGCATCAGCCGCATGGGCCTCGCCTTCGGTTGCCTTCGCCGCACTCTTGACCGCTGTAGGCTCACTGTCCCCAGCTCCTGGAGTGGCTGTGCGTAGGGTTTAGGGTTTAGGGTTTAGGGTTTAGGGTTTAGGGTTTAGGGTTTAGGGTTTAGGGTTTAGGGTTTAGGGTTTAGGGTTTAGGGTTTAGGGATTAGGGATTAGGGTTTGGGGTTATATAGGGTTCTAGGGTTTAGGGTTTAGGGTTTGGGGTTATAGGGTTTAGGGTTTAGGGTTTGGGGTTTGGGGTTTGGGGTTTAGGGTTTGGGGTTTGGGGTTTAGGGCTATAGGGTCATAGGGTTTAGGGTTGGTTGCCCTGGGGCCCTTCTGCGAAGAATTTGGAATCGATGCGCTGGAGTTCACAACAGATGTGCCACTCTGTGTGCAACCACGGCGCGTGAGGGCCATTTGAGAGACTTCTGGGAGTTCGGGCCACCCTAAACCTTCAACCCTAAACCATAAGCCCTAAACCCTAAACCCTAAACCCTCAACCCTAAACCCAAACCCTAAACCCAAAGCCCTGACGCAATAGATCCTGAATCTCCCAAACCCTGGAAGCTCTGCTTCTCTCCTCCTACCACAGCCGACACTGCCAGCACAGTGAGGGAAGCAAGGCTGGCCTTGGAATCCCAAGGCGACTTAATGGGTTTGGTGTCAGGGCTTTAGGCTTGAGGGCCTCTTTTTTGTTTTTGTTTGCTTTGTTAAAGGGGTCCGAGGTTGAGGGCTTCCCCAGCTTTAGGGAATTAGGGTTTTAGCGAATGGCGTCTTCGGTTTTAAGGCAGGGCTCCGTCGTTTCAGGCTTCCGGGTTGCAAGCCCTGCAACTTGCAAAAGTGAACCCCTTACCCCTCCCAAATCCTGAACCCCAAGAGGCTGAACCCATATATGCCCTAAAAGCCCTCAACCCCAAACCTAAATCCCAAACTCCACCCCTAAACCCTAAACCGTAAACACAAAACCCTGAACGTTAACCCGCACACACATGGAAGTTGATCGACATGACTGTGCCTTTTCCGGCGAGCTGCAGAATGTAGTATGATGGAGACACGATGTGGGCCTAACCCAAACCCTAAACCCTGAACCCTAAACCCTACACCCTAACCTCTGAACCCTGAACCTAAGCTCTACACCCTAACCCCTAACCCCGAACCCCTAACCCCTAACCCGTAAACCCTAACCCCTAAACCCTAAACCCCAAACCCTAAACCCTGAAACGCAGCTGTGGGGCGGCCGCGAAGGCCACGCGCACACCAAGCCGTGGAGGCAGGCCAAAGGCCTCGCAAGCCAGAACAAGAACAAGGAGGGTTGGGAGGGCTCTAGGGTTTAGGGGTTGTAGGGTTTGGGGTTGTAGGGTTGTAGGGTTGAGGATTAAATTTTATAGGGTTATAGGGTTATGGGGTTTAGGGTCTAAAGTAGAGGGGGCTTGTAGGTGTAGGGCTTATCATGTGGGGTTTTAAGGGTGATGGTCTAGGGTGTTCGGGGTTCAGGGTTTCGGGCTCTATCATGAGACTTTCCTAAGGATTCGGGGTGTTTGCGTGTTCGGTTGCAGGATGCTAACGGCTCCAGGGCTTAAGCATGCCGATGGCTTACCCCGAAACCGTAGACTTTGTTTAAGCCTAAAGTCGAGCATGACCCGAACAAGGCCCGATAAACAAGGCCCGAAACTCCATACACGATCACACCGTTTAAGTTTGAACAATCTAACCCCCCAAATGCTAAACTCTCCATATTCTCCTATTTCACCCCCTTTTTAGGGGGTGCCTTGGTAAGGAAGCCAGCCGCGGCCGCGGAAGCCACCGGGCCCACCACCACACCCAGCTGCGAGGCCTAGCTGGCAAGAACTGCACAAAATTCAGGGAAAAGTAGTTTCCCATGACGATGACGAAGAACAGTAGCAGTGATGATGATAGTAAATGGTTGCAATAATGAGAAGGCCCCAGGGACATAGCACAGGGGATGAGAACGATCCCTAGACCTTCAAAAAAAAAAACTCTAAAAGTCATAGTGCTCTAGATGAAGCCCTCTCAATCTGGCAAGCTGCTGCGGCCACTCGGCTAAGCGCCGTCGCGGCCTTCCGAAGTTTAGGGTTTCAGGTATGTTGTTTTGCTTTGTAGGGCGTAGGAAGCTTTCAATTCAGGTTGTCAGAGAAGGGTCTAGGCTTTTTGGCGTTTAGGGCCCGGGTATGACCATGCAACTCAGGACGAGTTGGCGGACACCCAACGAACAATGGTTCATCGATCGTCGCATAGACGCCCCAAAGCCGCAAGCATCCATCGTTTTGAGTTCCCTGCCGCACGCAAACGTGCTTATAGACCAGGAGGGAAGTCTAGAGCTATACTTTCGGCTCAAAGGAAGCCCGAACCCTGAAGGAAACGGAGCCCTGCTCTCATCCAATGAGACAAGCACTTGGTTTGCGGGCTACACACAATCCAAGACTCCAAAGCTGCACATTGCTTTAGGGGACTTAAGGTGGCCAGTTGCAAAACCAGCTTGATGCATGCATCGTGGTCTACAACCTTCCATGCGCTTGGATCACGTGGTGTCAAGCCAGACAACCGAGTGTTCAGTGTGGTGAGGTGCGGTGGTGTGCGCGTGCATGTGCATGTGCATGTGCATGTGCATGTGCATGTGCATGTGCATGTGCATGCGCATGCGCATGCGCATGTGCATGCACGCGAATGCACGTCTATACGTATGTAGGACGGATAGATGGATGGATGCATGCAAGCATGCATGGAACCCTTTCAGCATTCGTGTCACTGCCAGGCCTCTGCCCCAGGAACTAGGTCCGTGACAGCTGCCTGCAAGAAAAGGCTTGTCGGACAGGCGAGCCCTACGCAATGACCCAACAAGGTTTAGGGCCTTCAGGGTGTAGGGTGTATTTTAACCAAAATCCCTAACTGCATCGATATCTTGAGAAACCGCGAAGCTCCAAGCCTCCCAGTCGGTGTACCGACTCCGAGCCTCTGCGATCTGTTTAGGGAACCTCCGTCGCTCTACTTGCAACCGGCCTCAGCTTACCATGAACCTTCAAGAAGCACCCAAGCCTGCGCCACCGGCACTGAAGCTGCGAATGCACCTGCCAGCAAGTCAAAGAAGGTAATTGAGACGCCGCAACTCCGCAATGCTTCTACCCTAAATGCCAACAACTACACCTTTCTCAGAAGTCTGAGGTGCGCGAGCGGGGAAGCCAGGCATTCCGCTAAAGAGAGTTTCAGCTTTGATTCAAGAGAGCCTACTTCGGAACAGCCCCAAATCCTAGGCCACACAGAGCGGGTCGAATCCCACAAGCGCGTCCCTGGGTCGAGCAAGGCCTGCCATGAATCGGCCGATCAGGATTCCAGGAATCGAGTTCGAGAAGGCGATCAGCATGCTGGCGAAGGCTGCCCCAGCCAAGCAGGCCCTGGCGAGCCAATGCTTCACAGAGGGGGTTTCCCAGAACAGGGGTGTGGTTCCTATATATATATATATATGTCGAGGAAGATCGTTTGTTTGTGGGGGAAGCCCTATTTTGAAAAGTGCCACACATGTTAAGCCCCGGTGGCAGTATGGGGATGCACGACGCTGCTGGCGACAATGTTCGCAAGCTGAAAAAAGGTGCCCACCCCACAACTGAAATCCCGTCAGCCCGAAGCACAGCCCGAGCTCTGACCCACAGATGCGGTAAGTTAAGACCACCATCTATCAAAACATGCCCCCCCCCCCCCCAGATTCAGAACGCAGATAAACGCCTGGAGCACAACAAGCACAAACATGGGAAATAAGCTCCTAGACACTCAGCACAAGAACGCAACCACTAAGCAATGCACCTATGCAAATTAGAAGCCTAAAGCCCGAAGCCGTAAACCAGTGTCCCAAGCCTAAACCATGAACCCCAAGCCTTATAGCCTCAAAGGCCCTGAAGCCTCAACCCTTCAACCCTAAAAACCCTTAGCCCTAGAGCCTGATGGCTGAACCGTATGAACCCTGCTCCTGAACATTTCCCAGTTCCCTGGAACCTCAATACCCGCAGCCGGCCCAGCCGCCCTGAGGCGGCCACGAGGATCCTCAGCTAGAGCTGGCTTAGGAGTTCTTATAATTAGGGTCTTTGGGGCAACTATAGTATCTTTGGGGTACCATTCTTATAGGAGTTCTTATTCTTAGGGTCTTTGGGGTGACTGGGATATGTGGGGTAGTTTGGACCATGCCCAGCAGCCCATACTGTTAATTCCACTCTGCAGGGGCCCGATTTCAACCAGAAAGACGACATACTGTTTGCTTGAGTATCCCCCAGAAAGTGAAATAGTAATCCCAAACATGCCCTTGTAAGGAAGAATATATTTTTTGTGGGGCGGTTCTGAAGAAAATAGTAGTATTGTTGCGCCGCAGGGCCCTTGAAGGGGGCCACTTACGTTGACGATGCTTGCGGTTCAGGCTGCTGCGGCAGTTAGGAAAACTAAGGTAGGTGGGGCAATGAGATAAAGTAGGTTTAGGAGTGTATAGGAACGAATTAAGGCATTGAATCCCTTTAGGTTCCCTGTCTGAAAGAAAGATGCTGTCCCTACAAGGGAAACTCGTTTAGCTAGTTGGGGTGGGGGAGTGGACCTCACTGCTGTTTTCTGGGCCTGTTCGATTCGACGAGGGCTGACCTGAAGATCAGAGATGCAGTTTTCCAAATGTTGGAGCTGCTGTTTGGCCATGCAGCGGACAGCACATCATCTGGGCAAAGGAGAAGCAGCTGGTAGCCTTAGCTCCGAAGCCGTGAAACTTTCTAAAGCAATGTATGATAAACCCTAAACCCTAAACCCTAAACCTTAGGAATCTTAAGCCACAAGAAATCTAATCGCCAGCAGGGCTGGGGATGCACGCACAAGCGCGCGAGCGATGCGCTGAGAAGAACTTGCGACTGCAAGCATATAATAATAATGATAATAATAATAATAATAGTAGTAATCATACTAGTAATAATATTAATTATAATTATAATACTAATAACAATGACAGTAATACGAATAACTCGATCGTTGCATGCTCTTGGGACTGCACCGCTGCTGGCTTCGAGCGAGAAGGTTGAACATTGTGCTGCTGACACGTAGTCGAGCACATACTTGGCAAACGTGAGTTTGTTGTTGCCGAACCTAACCGAGCTTCATCCCTTTGTAGAAAGTAGTCTGGCAGTTTAAAACCGTCAGAAGAAGACTTTGGCATCACCTGAGCTTGGACTCCCAAGGAAGAGGGCTCAGGTTGATGTCGAGCCGACCAGCGCGAGTGTGCGTGTTTTTTTGCAAGGATTCGTAACTACCAAATGCTGTCGCAAGAGAACTCCCACTTAACACCACCGCATGCTTTGGCTTGTTGCATACATAACCCTAAGCCTAAACATGGTTGCTGGGCTAGCAAGTTGGCCAAGGTCAACCCCAAGAATGAAGAAGCTCGAGCACCTTCCGTGGAAGAGACGCCCGTGAAGCTGAACATACGACGTGACGAACGATCCCACGGTGGGGTTTAGGGTTTAGGGATGTTTAGGGTTTAAGGGTTTTGGGGTCAAAAAAGCTTGTGATCCATGGCCTGGGCTTTAGGAGGGCTTCACGGCCTTGGGCACCGTGGCTTTGGGCTCGAGCCCGCGGCGCAGGGCTGCAGCTTGTTTCTCGGCTTCCGCTTGCAAGTCTTGCACGTCAAGGACAGAGCCATTCAGCGCGCTCAAATGGTCGTCTGGGAAGCCCGAGGCCCCTGAACCAAAGCAACCTCATGTTCCATCACCCGCACAATGAAGAACCTTGCGCCTCTGCTTCAGGCCTCAGCCTCCCAGCGATCCAGCGAGGCGTCGGAGCTTTAACGAACTAACCATTAAATTTGCTGGTAACTGAATTTTCAGATCCTCGAACAGGGCATTGCCATTCTGGCGCCGCTGTGAACGAAAGCCGTATCCGCAGTTGGAGCTTTAAAACCTCTTGATGCACGAGAGCTTCGATAAGTCAGCCCCAACAAAACAAACAAACACAAACTGGAGGCATAGATGCTGCGGCCAAGGTTTTAAGCAGTTTGCGGGCAGGACTTGCGGACCACACAGACCTCGGAGGCCAGGAGTGCGCGAAGTCGGCTAATTTTCTAAGAAACTCGAGACACGTCTAAGTACAAGAGCGTGAGCTTTCGTGAGCTTTTTCAACCGGCTCAGCTGCTCTGTCGCTCCCATGTCGTTGGTGAGCACTATAGCAGCTCAATCAAAATCTTGAACCCACTAACGCCCCACAACCCTAAAACCCTATAATTCCCTATAAAGCCCCCCTGAAAACAACTGTCCAAGAAGGGCCACTCTTCGCTCTCCAGGATGCCGCCTTCTTGACGATGCAGCTGGAGCGAGGCCCAAACCCTCTCTGCCATGAGGAACACACAGAGCCAATAGAGGAAGAAGGGAAGTTGTCATGGGCTTTTAAGGGCTTTGGAGGTTCTGGGATGAGAGGGCTCGGGACCCAAGATGTGTTGGCCAGGGCAACATGGCAGCGGGACGTGCGTATGCCCAGCGCTTCAGGAGGAAGTGCTAGGAGAATGAATTTGCAAAGAGCCTTTCAATGGGCTTCGGACAAAATATTTGTGTCACTCGCCAGCTTCAAAACTATCAACGGCACGGTCTGCATCCTGCAGAGTTCTACCTCCCACGACTTAAGAACCCCTAAACGCCAACATCACTCCCAAGCCTTCAAGACTTGAGCTCAAAGACCTCATGATGTGTTCGAAAGAAAAGACTCCAGACTCCAGACCCCACGAAGGGTTTCCGAACCGTTGACTTAGTTGACTTCACGAGCAACACATTCCCGACGCAGAGCCCCGGCACTTCCCTAGACATGGGTTCTCGAGGCTCCTAGGGCAGCTTCAGCTCCACACCGGATCTTCAAAACTTGAAAGGCGCGGAGCTCCGACAGAGACCCTAATCTCAGAAGCATCTTCCCGCAAGAGCCCTGTGCCACAACCCTCTAAGCCACCCTCGATGCCTCTGAAGATATTCCCGAAGCCAGCCGCATGGTACTCAGCTCCATGCCCTAAACCCAAAAAACTGCAGGCGACTGTGAGTAACCTCCACAGTGTTAGTCAGGTCCGGGATGGTTGAATAAACCCTAAAAGCTGGATCTCAGAGTCTCTGCGTCTCGGAGGGATTTGGGCAAAGGCTTCACGAAGCAGGGTATCGAGTTCAACCACCTGCATGGTTGTCCCGTCCAGGGCCTGCCACCCTGCCGTTCGGGCATTCACAAGGACAAGATGTCAGCATCATCATCTTCGAGCTGCGAAGAGCATTGCATTATAAGATTCCCGTCGCCCTTGCCTGGGACGTGATTGAAAACTGCGTCTGGTTGGCGGCCTGCGAAGACGCTGCGAACGCGAGCATCTACTGCCAGTTGTCTGGGAGTGTGGCCACGACGATTGGGAATATCTGGATCAGCTTTGGCCGACAGGAGGAATTCCACCAAAGTCGCGTTGTCCGAAGTAGCTGCCCATCCGAGGGGCGTCGAGCTGCCTTCCCCAAGCACACAGAAGAGCCGGCTTACTTGGCTGCGTCTCCTGAAGCATAACTGCACTCTGCCAACAATCTCCAGGACACGGAACAGGCCCACGGAACGCTCCGGCCGATTGACGTCTGCACGAGCATGGAGCAAGACGTGTGCAGTGCTCACGGCGAAGTTCGGGACAGTCCTGCTATAAAGAGCCAGATTTGAAAGGGGCGTACAGGATAAGTTGACATCTGCCTCCAGTTCCACCAGCTTCTTGGTAACTTCCAAAGGTGCCAACTTGGAGCAAGCATAGCCTAGAGGGGTGATCCACACCTTTCCACCTCGCCAGTTCACATCCGCACGATGCTGCACCAGCATCTCAACGGAAGCTGCATCACGGCAACATCCAAGGCACGGGAGACCCAAGCGGCAGGTTGTGTTGGGGTCTGCTCTCTGGCGCAGCAGCTCCAGCACCGCAGCGTGACCCCGGGCACCACGTGCCAGGGCAAGGTGTAAGGGCGAGTACGCCAACACACCAACAGACAACATGGGGCGGCACAGGGTGCTCATGGAGGCCTTTGCGTCGGCAAGTACTCGTACCATTGACACGTCTCCCGATAAAGCAGCGCAGGCCATGCCGCCCACGGCGCTTGTCCGGATGGCTTCCTTCAGATCGGCGAAGCCGAAGTGGGACAGAAAAGAAGCTGGCGGGCGTTGCGCATCAGGGTGTCCAAGCCAATCCTGCAACCTGGCTTTGAGATACCGGCACAAGTCCAGCTGCTGCTCGTGCTTCGTGAGAAATGCAATGCGTCCACGCAGGGCCGTCTCGATGAAGTCACTGACTTCATGGCGGTCGGCCTCCACGGTGAAGACTCCTTCGTGCGTGGGTGCATAGATCCAATGGTTGGCCATTGCGACCTCTGCGTCATCCCCTGCGTGCACAACCACCATGGGCAAGTCTGCTTTGTTGGATAGCTGGGCACACCAAAGCTCGGCCTGAGGATTTGGGGACCCTACTGGGCTACATATGGTTATTAAAAAAGGGTAACTACAAAAAGTATAATATGTGTATTACTAGGCCCATACCGGCCATACGGCTCAAAAACAAGAGCCTCCACAGAACGACGTGGGAAAGACATCTCTAAATCAGCTCGAGGTGCCCTGCACCAACCCCGCTCCAGCCACGACTCGTAATCGCAAAGCTTTCCTGAGGCCGAATGTCTCAGTGGAGGGACCAAAGCAAGGAAGAGGTTGCAAGAATCCACGTAGGCTGGGATGGACCTCACAGAAGAACGTCGATCTTTGGTTCTGCCACGTACCTGCGGAATGCTGAACCAGTCCAGCCATAAATAGCCCTGTGCTAGGGCACTCCGCTCCTGGGAAGAAAGGCGGCGATTCCCAACATAAAACTGCGTCACCAAATCTGCCTGCCCGGGCAACGTGCCCTCGATGCAGCCTCGCAAAGCCTGCTGTAGCACCTGGAACTGAGCACCCTCTGCATCTGGATGGTGCAGTCCCAGCCACTGGTGGGATACAAACACGGTGTACATGCCGGGGCGGTGTGGAACAACCTTTCCCGCGGCACGAAGCTCTTCGTGCACCGTGGGTGGCCCACATATCTGCAACACATCTGCGATGCTGACAACCCACATGGCCTGCAGCTGTAGATGGTCCGAACCCTCGGGCTCAACCAGCCTGCTGTTGGAGCGTCGCATGCTGCTGGAGCGTCGCATGGCGATTGCAGGTGTGCTAGCTTTTGCTTCCCTCTCGAGCCAAAAGCGCCTTCAAAATTCGATTGCAAGCTTGTGCAAAGACTTCCACCAAGAAACGAATCAGAGAAATCGGTTTCAAGTGCCGCTGTATCGCCAACCGCAGTCAACAGCCGGCGGCACCGAAGAGGCCCCCGAAGGAGCCGAATATGGCATTACAGGCTCCAATGTAGTTCCTTTTTCGGTTAGGTATAGGGGATTCCAGTAGCCTTTGGGCAACAAGTAAATCACGTGGGATTTGGTTGCACTGCGTCCACAGCTCCGGAAGCTTCCGCCTTAACGAGTCACGGACTCTGCTTATCCGCGCTGAACTCCGACAGTTCAGCAGATGGGAGATTGTTGAATCTGATGGATCCTCAAACAGCTGATTCAGGGAAGGCAGTTTGCCGCCGCCTCTCACTGCAACCACTGCTAGGCCCAGCTAGGCATCACCAGGCCATCGTCTCGCCAAGACTGCGAGGCTGCCAATAAACCCTAAACCCTAAACCCTAAACCCTAAACCCTAAACCCTAAACCCTAAACCCTAAACCTAAACCCCATTTAAGCTACTGGGTCACAGAAGGAGCTCTTGAGCACAGAGTTGACCTGGGCGTCCCACTTCCAGCGAAACCCTAGAATTCGCTCCTACGCCCTCGGTGCCCTAAACGCTACATATATATATATGTATATATATATATATACATATGTATGTATGCATGTGACGTATGTAACGTATGTAGTGTATGCAAGTATTGTGGAGCTCCGCTTGCTTTGTGTGCAGCGTAGGCACAAGGCCCACGGTGATCGCAGAAGCCCCAAGGGAAACCAGGTGCAGGGGAATGCTGGAGATGGCGATGCCTGCACAGCCGAGGCACCCTGTAGGCTGGGGCCTAAACCCTACCCCCTTCCCACAGCGGATTTGCCCTGGCGCTGTGTCCGATGCAATTTCTGTTTGAGGGGCCGAAAGAGGAAAGAGCTCTGACGAGAACCCATTTTAAGGACTTTTGGGACTCCACAATGTAGAGCCCGTGCTATGTACAAGGCCCACAGCAATTCAACAGACTTTTATACTCTGAAAACCTCGGAGGTTCGACCGGGAGAAAGTCTTCTATCAGCGCCCACTTTGTCAACACGATGCTCGCATTACAGCTTGCAGCCCTGCACTCAGTTGACAGCTCGGACGGCTTACCTGCACCCCGAAGCCCTCCAACCTAGCAGGGCAGAATCCCTTAAATTCAGGCGTATATGCCCAAAACATAGCCGGGGCCCATGGATTTAAGTCTCAAGTAGTGAACTGGGAGACCCGGCCCAAGGCTCAGGATGTAGAGTCTTAAGGTCTTTTGAGCTCAGGTTGGGCGCCTTCTCTTTTCTGTTCTGACGGACTCAGCTCAAGAGCTGTTTAAGAATGTTTGCAAAGCATAAACATAGTGGCAGTTGGTACTTGTAACAGGGTGGTGGTGCTGAACAAGTTTTCTCAACAAACCCAAGCTATCTGCAACTGCAGGAAGCTGCCCCCTGGGCCAGAAACGCTGCTGGAAACGCTGCTGTAAAAACATGCTCTCGAGTATCACCTCCGCACCTCAACCCTTAGCCCTAAAACCTTCCCCCCGTTCTTGACGACCTCGGCTTCACCTCTAGTGCTTCGATACCATGAGGGTTTAGGGTTTAGGGCGCCATGAAAGGAACATGGAAACTACTGCCAAAAGATGTAGTCACACCTTCTCCCAGCATCTGCACGAAGACTGACCTTGTATGGCAGAAAAAGCCCTACCTGGATGTTCGTGGGTAGTTATACTTAGAAGTATAGGCAAAGCACACATCTTATGGTAACCTTAGTATACTATGGCTTTCAACCGAGGTGCATCTAGATAAGGCTCTGTGTACCATAGCAGTAGATATTTGGAACCTCTTAACTAGAGCTACTTAATCCTCAAGTATGCCCTACTTGGGTGCCAGTGCCGTCGCAGCTGGGAAGCTGCTTGAAGAGCGGAGGTGTTAAGGCTGTTGGCCTACAGTCTATAGCCCCCCTCCCATAGCAAGCCGCTACAGGAAGCTGCAGAAGTCCCCTAAACCATAAGTTCGCGACAGCCCGAAGCTCCAAAGACTAACGCCCTAGGTCCCCAAGTTCCCAAAACGCTAAGCTCCTAGAAGCCCTAAGCTTCTGCAACCCGAAATTCCTGAAGCCCCCAAAGTGAAATCCCGAGCGAAGCGGCATGGAGATTGGCAGCAGCGCTTGCTTTGGCGCTGCTGGGCGCTGGGTGGCCAGCCTTTGCCATTGTAAAGGATGGCGGCTTAGCATTGAGGAATTTTACGGTTGATAGGGTTCACAGGGCTTATGGGCTTTGTAGGGTTTTAGGGTTAAGGGTTTCAGGAAATTCGAGCTTTAGGGTCTCGGACCCATGGTGCTGTTGAGTTTGGCGTTTGGGGGGGGTACACGGAGTAGATTCATCTCTCTTTCACGGATTCAGGTTTCCGGAAGAACCCAAACCCAATCGAAAGCATCAATGGTCCATCAAGGACATATATACTTATCGTTTGCCTACGGCCTTCACAAAGATGAGGTGTCTACGCTTTGCGCTCTTGTGGTGGTCAATCTCTCTCTGCCGCTACTGCAGCTGATGCTGTCTTCGACTGATTTTGAAATCAGATAGGCATTGGATCCGTCAAGACTTGCACAGATGCACTCTCTTGCATCTCCCTCCGTTTGGCCATGATGCACTTGCCATTTCCCAGAACAGTATGCATCTGACACAACCAAAAACACGTCGGGGGGGCGGGGGGGGGGGGGGGGGGGGGGCGGGGGGGGGGGGGGCGGGGGGGGGGGGGGGGGTGATCTAAACTCTGGATACTTCATGTACTCCTTTGACTTAGGCTACCAACAAGGGCCGTGGTAATTTAGGTCAACTGCGCACCTAGGTCTCTCCAAGACTTCGCATGCACTCCACAGCAAAGGCTGCCTGGCATGCGTCCGAGGTCTCAGGTGAGGGCTCCTGCAGTCGAAAACTTAGGGTTTAGGGTTTAGGGTTTAGGGTTTAGGGTTTAGGGTTTAGGGTTTAGGGTTTAGGGGTCGGAGTTTAGAAGGCTAAGGTTGGGTTTGAGGTGCAGGAGGTTTGGGGTTTAAGCTTGAGGTCGTCTGGGGCCCGAAGAACACACCTCTGCCCCTTGTGGGTCCGAGTGTGAAGATGGGGGGGGGGGGTTGTTCCACGATGGTACTCGCTGCAGAAAATCTGGGTCTTTATGATAAGAGACATGCCAAAGGGACCCCAACTTAGAACTATGGCTGAGAACATGGAGGGTGAGATGCAAGAAGGGTGCCAGTCGTGCCATGCTGTTTCAACATCCCAAGCTGCATGCTGACTACTGCAGTGGAGACACCAGAAAACTCTCAGGCTCGCTCTCAGGCCATTCTTGACCCCGTTGCTCTGACGAAGCCCTCGCAAAGAACTCCATACCCCGAACGTCTGGAACTTTTTGTCTGAAGCAGATGTGGACAGAATACGAAAGCGAAACATGACTTCATGACCACCTTTACCTCAAGGATACCCTGTCTATACCTCCACCAACCACTCAACTCCTCCGAGCACAAACCCAACTCCTAGACTCGAAGGCGTAAACCTTGACACCCTAATTCCCCAAAGCCCTCACGAGCCCCCAACGGAAAGACAAACAGCAAATGTTTACCTCAAAGCAAACCCTAGAGACTCCATTCTCATCCCTAAACCCCAACCTAAACCCCAACCCTAAACCCCCCAAAACCATCTAAACCCCCCCCCCCCCCCCAAAACAAAAAAAAGCCCACCACTGAGCAAGTCGAGGGAGCCCTGGAGCCACGAAGGCCGCGGCGGCGCTCAGCGCGGCCAGGGCCAAGGCACGGTGGAGCCAGCGTGTGGCCATTCTCTTTCGGATGGACGGACCGGAGATGCAAGAATAGAGCAAATAATGTGGATGTAGAAAATCGTAAGAATGTAATAGTCTGTGAATAGTACTCTTGGTATATCGATATAGTCTTCGAAACAATACTACGAATAGCGTTTGTATTGGTAAAACCCCTCCGCGGAGAAAGACATGGACATTGCCCACCGCTTCACTGCCTACTAAGTGACAGCGAGCTGTTCGTGGATGCGGCGCCAAAGCGTTCATGTTTGTATATATGCTGGCTGCTGGGGTGCTTCTTCATATTGTGGTGCACAGTACTCAATTTGCACTGGGGCTCATGGAGTTTATAGGTAAGGTCGTGGGTCCCGTTGTAAATTTGCAAGCCAACACCCAACGCCGCAAACCCTATATGACCCGAAATCGTAGCGAGTTTCGAAACTCTAACCCCTAAACTCTATAGACCCTAAACCCTAAACCCTATAAACCCTAAGAGATCCAGCTCTCGACCAGATGGAAGGATGTAAGCTTCTCGAGGCTTGCAGGGGGTTTGCTCTTTCAGAAGGACGATGCGCCCTTCTGAAAACATTGGGCAGAACATGGTCGTACATCATCAGCACGACTCGCCCCTGTTCCAATACTTGAGTGTAGGGATGGTCTGTTCAACGTTTGAGTATCCAAATTTCGGGGGCTCCTGCCACCTTTCGGCGGCCCTTGCGAGATCTTCCACTCCTCAAATACCCTAAACCCCCAAACCCTAAACCCTAAAGATTGTTTGCGAGGCATGCGAGAGTGATGTGGCGCCAGAAAGGGCGAGTTTCACGAGCTGTTGCAGCATGTCTACGACAACTATTGCTCTAGCCTACCACTATGACCGTTTAGAGCCATGCAAAGCAAAGTATTTCCCTTAAACCCTATACACCCTAAACCTCTTAAACCCTAAGCCCCAAACCCTAAGCTTCAAATCGTACTCAGAGCCTTCAGCCGACTTAACCGACTTCTTGTGCGTAGTCCTACACATAAGCTTTCAACGTTAGCAGGATATGTCTTGTCTTGTCGACAAAGTCTACAAAGAAGGAAGCGAGCAGAATGCGGTGCTTGTCTCTGCGCGAGCTGGGCAACAACAACAGATCCGGTCCCGCTCGAAGTACGTGTTAGGGTTTAAGTTAGTTTAAGAGTGTAGGGATGAGGCTTCGAATTTAGGGTTTCAGAAAAATGCGAACGCGCGCGCCAGTAAGAACATGTTCTGCGACACGTGTTGCACCTGGACGCTACAACAACTTGCGGCCAGAGGTCTCAACAAAGTTTCGGAAGCTCAGCGATTCAGGCACAGTTTGGGGCTTAGGAGCTCCTGCTTTGGGATTTTAGGAACTTGGTTTTGAGGTTCGGAGGGAGATTCGGTTTTTGGGGGTTAATTAATAGGCTTTTTGTTTGGTTTGTGGAGGGCGGAGGCAGCTTCGGGCTTACTCTTTGTCAGCCCTGATCCGAGGTGGCTGCCATGCGGCTGCTGGATCGTCTCCATGGGCCTGGGTCCCGGAACCACTCAATCGGCAAGACGCGAGAGGTTCTTGGAGGCGTTCGGAATGGTTCAGGCTTGCCTGAGGCGAGGGTTTCAGGATTCCCTAGAAACTCTGCACTTTGCAAGTGGCGGCAGATCCAAGGCGCAGGCAGACGGCTCACTGAAACCGCGCCGCAACTGGCGTGCAGAGGGGGTGAGGAGAGAGAACGTCTCTTGACAGGAAACCATTCCTGTTGAAAGTATGCACTCTGCTCCCAAGATGGTGGTTCCACCCTGAAAGAGCCTCAGACCTCCCGCGGCTCTCCTCTAACCTCCGTTGCAACAGACCCAGCAGTGCTTGGTTTTCAATCCGTCGGCAAGTAAGAGGTCACGTTTGAAAGGCTAGCCTGGCCCCGCAGGGGCGGCAACCTCACCAAACAGCCCGTGAGAAAGCTCTGGCATCTCTGGCGTCGCTGCGGCTTACACCACTGATATCCAATATGGTGCTGCTCCTCTATTGCTTATCTAGATACACCTTCTGGAAAGAATGTGGAAGTCAGCATTCTCGCCAGCATCCTTCTTTTTCCGTGCCAAGACGTGCCAGAGAGTGGGAACTCATTGAGTGTCCCAGAGCACCGGCTGTGCCCTGTGGAGGCAGCCAACATAACCACGTACAAACCCTGAGTCCCCATCTCCGAAAAGTCTGTGTCGCCTCTTGGCAGCCTTCAAGAGCTCTAAAAGCCAAGCCCGAAAAATCCTAGGAATACCGGAACTAAGCCCTGTACCGGGCGTAGCCATTAATGATTGGGAGTGTCAACCTTCTATCAGGGTATGTGTAGGTTGCGCTGAAACAAAGCTCACCCCTAGCAACAGCATCATACCTGTCGGCCCTGTGGGCACTATACACCCTAACCCCTTGCACTCCACACAGATCGCACACCCATTTCGACGGCGGCGCGAAACCTAAACTCTCACAGAATGTCACAAGACCGTTCCCTACTTCTGAACCCTCAAAAACCCCAATAAAGCCTGCAACGCCCCTATGAAGCCCTCGTTACCCGACAAAAAATGCCTCTAAAGCCCCTAAAGCCCACAAATGCCGACTGCGACCGACCTCCGAGCACTGGCGAAGCGCCACCTTTGAGGAGCTGAAAGCTTCTAGAGGCCCTGCCACGGCGTTTCCACAGGGGGGGGCCCACCCCGCCTTTTGTCTTGGGGGCTGCTTCTCGAAGTGGGTCTCAAGACTCTTAAATAAGGTGAATTACATGGCTTGGGGTGTTGATTTAGGAGCCGGTTTCGGGCTAGATCTCCGAGCCTATGTAGGATTTCTGGGATGCTGAGGCGCTTAAACTTACCAAAGCTTACTGGTACCATCCATGAGGCCTTATTCAGTGTGTGTATGGGCTACAGAACTGGAGGTTTGGGCACGAGGTCGGTTTTTGGCTGGGGAGACGGGTTCTTAAAGTGGGCTTACAACGCGTACAGGGTGTATGTAGGGGGGTTGACTGCAGGCATTGTAGGGGTTTTAGAGTTCAGGAGCTTCGTCGGGTGTAGGGTTTTGGGCCTGTCCTTGCGCTCGGGATTCCTGACGCCACTGCGAACATATGAACAGGGGTCACCTCTCCGTGCTTGCCGGGTGGCGCAAGGCAACGAACCCGATCCATACTACAGAATCTATTCCAAAAACTGGCACTTTAAGATCAGGGCACTGGTGGAAACGCGGGCAGCGGCCAAAGCAACAAGCAACCACACATGCACCAGTCCGCTGCAGTTCCATATAGCTCAATGGAGATGAATAGTGAGCGGACTTTGGCTCAGATATCAGAGTCCGTGTCTTGGTGTATGTGACCCCATAACCAATAATCTACAACAGGAGGGCCTGGCAGCGGCCTTAGTGCAGGCTTCCATTTGGGTCGGCAACGTTCCAAGCTGAGAGGCAGCCTCTGTACACTCCAAGTTGGGGGAAGTTGGCTGCTCAGCCAGACGAGTGTTCAAAGCACCAGTGTGCATAAACTCGCGTCACTGAACGCGTGTAGATGAGCTGTCCAGCAGACTCTACGAGTAGTTGTCACCTGCTGCTTCGACCCACCTGCTCATCCAAAGGGTGTTGAATGAACAGGCACGCTGGAAAATGTCACACTAAAACTCACAGGTGTCGCTCACTGTTGGGTTGGGTTCGGAGGGCTCAAACCTGGAACCACTGAGGAAGCCATTCTAAAACAGACTGGCAAGTCAGTATGTAACTAATTATTCCTGACATGAGCGATGGAATGGTGGGGATGATCTTCGTGAATGCTTGAGATTTTGTTGTAGCGCGCAATGGAATCTTGTTGCCAAAATTGCGTTGCGGGGGGCACGCGGCTCTTCGGTAGCCCCTCAACCTCTGTCCTCGGGTAACCGACTCGGGTACTAGCCAAGAAACAGCTTGCATCCCTACGGTACATCTAAACACCCAAGAAAGTACCATGTTTGCGGTATCGGTTCGATGCGGTTTGGTAGGTCACTATCATGGGTACTGCAGGGGTCCAGGTATACCCTCACCCCTTAAGCCATAAACAAGAGCCCCTCACCGCTTTGTCCGCTGCTTCTTCGCCTTTGGGCCTGGGAGTGGACACACCACAGTGAGTTGAAGGGGAATGAAGGCATGGGGTAGGCCCTAGGGGCGAAGCATTTCCAAAGTGGCCACTTACATTTCTACCTTCAGTTGTACCCCTAATTTCCGAACCCTTTAACCGTACACGGTATACGCCTTACGCACCACCGACCCTCAACCCTCAACCCTGAAACCCTCAACCCGAAAGAACTGTAGTGCACGCCCTGTAACTTTAACACTAATATTAACCTCTGTCTCTAGGAGTTAATCTGTTGAGTCGTACAGGCAACAGCCGATGGAAGAGTGATGGCGAAGAAGTCCTCATTATTTGGTCCTTTTAGTGGCCTTTTTCCACTCATTCGTACACTTCCCTTGAGAGCCTCTATGAATATAGTTCTTGTGTGTGTGTGTGTGTGTGCCCTTCTTTTGTTTGTTCTTATTGTGCACACTTTTTTTTGCTACGATTATTGTTGGAGAGAGAGAGAGAGAGAAAGAGAAAGAGAGAGAGAGAGAGAGTGAAGCGAACTCGCGTTATAAGGAGTGAGTGCCCGAAACGACAGCAAAAGACCGCTACTACTCCTGGCCTTCGGAGGGATTCTTCTATTCACGGTTCATGAGCTAGCCCGCGAAACCGCGGTCGAACCCCGAAAACCAACCCCTTCCCCCTTCCCCCCCCCTCTCCCTTCCTTCCCAATTTCTTAACCTCTTTCATCCAAACGCCGTGCTGAAACTCTGAAAGCACACGCCGAGGGATAAGGCGCTAGGGGAGGGGCTTAGGCACCGGCCCTCCATGGCACCCTGAACTATAAGACATGGAATAGAAAGCCAAAGGGTCATGCAACGTCTGGTTGCTGGCTGAAGGCTGTGCAATGCAAAGGGGCCCTCCTGATGGAATGAGGATGAATGAGGGATCTTGAGCCTCGGGGGGTGTACCCAGGCCTCAGTTGCAGTTCCCTGTATGAGGTACTTAGCTTATGAACTTATACCACCGATGTAACTAGAAACCCGCACCCATATCACCCACACGACTAATTCTCCCAAAAAAGACAATACCGTAAACCCTAGCACAAACCCTGAACACTAAGCCGGGGGAACAGGAGGGCCACGGGCTTCGTACATGAACGTCGCCAGCCATCTTTGGGCCCCAGCTGATGCCTTTCCCATCGCCTTTCGAAAGAGCCTGGCCGGAGCTTTTCCCCTCGCCTTTCGCATGAGCCTGTGCAGTGCAGAGAGAGAGAGAGAGAGAGACGTTCAGGGTGTACGTTATGGTGGAAGAAGATCGTTGCACTTTGTTTGTCTTTTGGGTGCACGGGTCTGGGTGCTGTCGGTGGTAGATGGTGGCAATTGGTACGGCCATGCATCGTCACCTCTGATTGCCTGGAATGACAGGTAACATCAAGCTAGGTTGGCCCTCTAAACCCTCTGAACAACATTCCTATATAAACCTCTTAAGCCCAAATCAAAGGAAGGAACGAGAAAATCAACAACTTAAAGCTTTGTATGAGTGTACATAAGTACACACGCACATGTAACTTCAAGGGTGCCTATCCAAGCCAGGAGTTACCTTGAAAAAGGTGTCGCGCAAAGCTGCGCAAAGTACCACCAGAGAAGTTTCCTGGAGACCGAACGAAGCCCCCCAAATCGGAGTCTACTAGACTAACCCTGATGATCCCGCCCGGTGTGACGCCTTTGCCTTTGCCTTTGGTGGCGGTGGCGGTGGAGTCGGGGGAACCTCCTGGACTTTGAAGAGCTCCTTGGGAGCGGAAACTGCGCAGGGTGAGATCCGGGACCTCTGGAGTGCTAGGGTGTGATGATGCAACGGCAGCAAAGAAGCCTAAACTCAACACCCCACATCTCCCCCAAACCGCAGCCCCGATCTCCCAAACACTGAGCCCCTCAAAAGCTGCTTCCGTTTGGGCAGAAAGGTTGCTGCTGCGGCTCGGAAATAGGAGTGTCCCGATAGGTTTCGCCTCAGCCACGTTCAGCGCTCTCTGCTCGGATCAGAACTCAGATGTTGCCACAAAGATAAGAGCCACTGAAGGGTTTAGGTTTAGGGTTCAGGGTTCAGAGTTTAGGGTTTAGGGTTTAGGGTTTAGGGCCACTGAAGGGATGACAGGTAAGGGCGCACGTGCATGGGCTCTGCTTCTTTCTGCGCTGCAGGAACACGGAACCTTGCACCCCAAACACGAGAACCTTCTGGAAGATGTTTCGGTGTTCCGGGTGCTCTCGGAACGCTCCGGTCTAGGGTTCAAGGTTGCAGGGGGTTAGCAGTGCGACACTTGCTACTGTGCTTGCCGGCATTTTGACCTCCTCTTGAAGGGTATGTAGAGTTTTGGGGTTCTACGCAAACAATCTTGCAGTCAGTGTTGACTCGGGAGTTGCTGAATCTTCAAGTATAGAAAACGAACACGACCTAAACAAAAACAAAACACAATTGCTGGCACCTAGACACCCAGATCCTTTGTTTTGGTTTGCTGCTTTTGCTTTTTGTTTGTTGACGCCCGGCCGCTGCGTGCCATTGGGACTTCCTAGGCCTTGCCTCAGATCCATTCGCAGAGTCTTTGGATTTCTTGTTTCTCTATTTGTATTGTGTGCGTATTTTGGTTCGTTGGCACTGCAAGACTGCAAGTCTCTGAGCAAGATGAACTCATAGCAGGGATCGGGAACTTGCAGAAAGGGCTGTTGTAGCGTTTTTTCACATGCCAGAACAGTCCTTTCAGTTCGGGCTTAGCATATGGGGCAATTAAACGAGAGCCTCTAGGATTCAAATTCTTTTGCGAAGCTGGCCAAGTGACCCTGAGGAGCAGCAGGCTTCCCGTTGAAGAGAACCTGGCAGAAACTTTCTGAGTGGGGCCCAGGCTTCAGGTTTTGGCTTAGGGTAAACCCCTCAGAAGACAATGCCACACTCCCCCCCCCCCCCCTCCCGAAGAAAAATCCAGAAACCACCACGGAGCTGCGCACCCGATCTGCAAGCCGACCGCGGAGGTCGCAGGCTCCGGGGGCTTAGGGCCGCAGGGTGCAGGGGTTTATGATGCTTGAAGAGAATGAGGCTTGCGAGGTTGCCTCCTGGGCTTTGAATCCCGAACCCAAGATCACCCCAGCGCCGGATGTATTGTGGATTAGGTGAGTGGCGGGTTACCCAGACTACAAACAGGACCGGTTGATCTCGAAATTTGAAACGATCGTTCAACAAGCCCCGAGACCTACGTGGAAACTCACGCTACCAATGCCGCAAGAGCCTCGAAGATAGCGGTTGCCAGGATCTCCGTTACCTGCTCGGAAGGCTTAAAGCCTTAAACTGGCCTAGACCCGAAGCACTTTCAGGATTGCTTCAGGTCAAATGTGGGAATGTATGCCCTCAAGAGATCCGAAAAACCAAAGGCACAACTTTGGGGGTCATATCGTCATGCAGAAAGCCTCTGAGAAAGGCATCCTGCATAACTCTAGGGTTCCAAGTATGGGCCCTTTGATTAGGATCCCTTGTCATATAACCCTTATATACAAAGCACAGGCCCATACTTCAGATCACTATGAACAAAAGGCAAGGGCCCATGTTTCCAACCTGAGAATAATAACCCTGACTGAGGTTCTGCAACTATGGCTACCCATGAAACGCTTCCTGACTTCCTGATGCTCTGGCCTCTACTTTGCTGCAGGTGTCCTCATCAAAAATTGCATGCTTCTGCCTGCAGCGAGGGGTTTAAGGGTTTAGGGTGTACAGGGCCCTGGGTTCTGGGTTGCAACTAGACTCGACCTTTGCAACAGGGCACCTTCCTTCATTCTGCAGGAATACTTGCCCTTGTTGAGGTGCAGCGTCACGCCAAGCAGGGTCTACATGTTTAGGCCAGAATTAGATCATACCGGTTCCGAAGGAGTAAAACTCGTGAGGCACTGTCGAGTCGATGTTACGCCTTCAGAGCTTCCCTTGTTTGCCCAGGAGACACTGCATTCCAGGCTCCAAGACCCCCTGCACCTTCGATTCGACGAACCGTCCAAGACAGCCTACTTACGCATGTGCTTCACAACCTCGTCAGGGTTGGTGCGAGCAACAAAAGCTGCGAACCTCTGCGGGGGCTCTGGCGTGAAACACACAGATTCTCAACCAACTATGAGAAACAGCAAGACGTAGACATGGAGAGCATGAGCCCTCGGGATTCATTCAGGGCTTACTGTGTCCATGGGGCCATAGTCCAGCCCTGGGTTTCATGCTTTCAGCGAAGCCTACCCGGCTCAGGTCTGGGGCATCGGCGTCATATTTTCGTCAGCCCATGTCATGAACTGCCTTGGAGCAGGAGGCACCCAAACCCAGCTCAACAATCTATAGGGCCACACGTCCACACCGTGTAGGGGCGTCCTCCAACACTACGGGCAAGAACAAAACACAACATACGAAGGCGGCCTCAAATCTCTGCAGCTATCCTAACCCTTCTGTCTCCAGCTTGTCACATGCGAAGTAGTCCCCAGCGCCATCCGAGCTGCCCAGGCAGGGAGTCTTTGCACGTCTCAGCGTTAAAACTGTTCACCTGCGCAGATCGAAGCTCAACCAGCAGCTACCAGAGCACAGCCAGTCTGAACCCTGCCTAGTTATAAACCCGCCACGCGAACAACTCAAGCATGAAAAAGCCTGTATTATAAATGGCCGGAGGTGTGCTTGCAGGTATACCTGTCCACCAAGATGGGGCTCTGTCTAATGGAAGCTATAGTAAACATAGGTTGCCCGGGAACCGGATGCGCACTTCTCAAACCAAGCAGGGAATAAGGGATAATAAGGGTACGATCCTGTAAAGTTGGGCCGCGATGATGCTGATGGTGAGAAGCGCAGAGGCTGATGATGCTGATGATGTCGGCCCTCTGCTTGGGGATTCGGTCACGCAGGCGAAGTGCAGGGGCGATGATGCTGAAGTTATTTTGCCCTCTGCCCAGGGATTGGCCCTCGCAGGCGACGCGCAAGGGCGGGATTGGGCCCCTCACAAGCGAGCGCAGGGGCGATGATGCTGATGATGTCGGCCCTCTGCCTGACTATTGGGCCCCTCGCAGGCGAAGCGCAAGGGCGTGTGGATTGGGCCCCTCGCAGGTGAAGCGCAGGGGCGATGATACTGATGATGTTGGCACTGTGAGGTGTGGGCCTCTCTTCAGGCGAACGGCAGGGGCGATGATGCTGATGATGTTGGCCCTTGCCTAGGGATTGAACGTTCTAGTTGAAGCGCAGGATTGATGATGCTGATGACCCGGGGAGTGAACCATTGACGATGATGCTAATGATGTTGGCCCCCCGCCTGGAGATTATTGGGTCCTCAACCCGACCCGCAACCAGATCATGATTTCCTTCGTACCTACGGGCAAAAGCCTGAAGAACCCTAAACCCTATCAAGATTCCGATCTGCAAATGTTCCGGAGTCAATTTGAACTTCACCCTTTCGTGGGTGTCTGTGCGGGTAGTGTGGGGTGGGCAAAGCTTTGGATCCACCCTGGGGGCTTTTTCGTCTCAAGCCCGCACTCGATATTCTCTCAGAGTAGGTATTCAGCTAGACTGGATATTTGTAAGCTATATGCTCCTGCAAGAGAGCACGGTGCCTCGTTGCAGAACGTCTTGATCATGGCCTGGGCCGGCCAAGGTTCAAATCCAAAGCCATAGATCCCCTGATGATTCCTGATGGAGCCTCTTTATCATCACACACAACGGCCCCCTCCATCACTCAACCTTTACCTGTGAACTTCGTGACATCTGTGAGAAACCCTTTGCCCATCCTCGCCCCCCAAACTCAGCCCTTGTCTGCGGCCAAACATGTTAGGCTGAGGGGATGTAACCGCAATCAAGAAAGGGGCCCCCCTCCGGCCTCTACATCGAAGAGCTGCCGACAGCGCTTGGCAGCATCGTCGCGGTTGTTGCCCTGGAGCTTGCCGAACCTGGATCTCCGGCTCGTGTCGGTTGGATCCAAACCCTGAACCCTGGAGTCGACATGCTACAGGAGCTGGCCAGGTGGCGATTTTGCATTGTGCATGGGCTCCAAGTCTATTAATTAAAGGTTTGAGGGTTGAGGGTTGAGGGTGAGGGTATGAGAAGACCAACTGGACATGGGGTCCTCATGCAAGTTGCACACTTTAGTCGGCCTAACATCTTTGGCGTCGCAGGCATAGACTGAGGATGCGATGTTCTTTCTATGCAGCTTGATTGAAACCCAGGTACAACTACAAGCTGCAAAAGGTGCACTTGCTTGGCCTTCATTCAGACACTGTGGAGGGTTTCTTTGTTATAAAGGGCTTCTGTTCTGGAGCAGCCCCCCCTCCCCCTTCACACCCCCCAGATGTTTCGCACACAGTGGTGTCCTTCTGGAGCAAGGTAGGTAAAGCCAGTACACCTTGCCCCCCCACGATTCCGTAGCTATTCCCATGCCTGAAGCACCCGACACCGAAACACAGAGAATGGCTTTGCCTGTTTCTGGCGTGCTCGTCCAAGTCCTCAGCTGCCGAACTCTTTCACTGTGCTTCCACAGCTGGCCCAGTGTTCGAAGCCAAGGGCTCCATTTTTTGAGCTCCTCTGATAAGGGGGTTTGACGAAAAAAGACCACCCCCCCCCCCCACCCCAACAGAGTCAGCTGCCAACTCTAGGCGCCCCGAAACCTTGATACCTGGGAGTCGGCTCTGTTCGGAGAGTATAGTGCTCAAAAGTTCGAAATCAGGTCGCCAGAGGTCGTAACCTAGAGCTCCATGCAAAGCCCAGGGTTCAAGCTTCCTATACACCCAGAAACTCTGAGTCTCGCAGGAGGATGTCCCTCCGATTACCCCCATGTGAATCCAAGCATCCGCACGCCGGATGTCGTCCTGGCATGGCTACTGGGCGCACTTGCGGGTCGAAGGCTTAGTATCTACATGGGGAAAGCACGTTTGATGGGACATGTTGCAGAGGATACGAAAAAGTGTGATGGTTGGAAGCGACATCCTGTGCACTGTCATGTGTGCGGCATAAACATTGCGAAGCACGCATCTCCGAGCAAAAGACTGCAGCGATACTTGCCTGACCCTGGACCTCAGTTCCGACCCAGTCAACGCACTTCACCCAGGCCTCGTTGAGTCCTAGGACTTTGCCGAGGTCGGCGGTCAGGCGATTCTCATAGTGGGTTGGATTCCCTTGGCAGTGCGGTCCGGTTCGACAGTCTTGAGGCACGAGAACGACTGCAATGATAATTATGACTCCGTACTTCTTCTGATGCTTCTTCTCACTCTTCTGCTTTCGACTGTGGCTTCCACGCTCATGCGCTCTACACCAGGCTTTGCAGCCCAAGGGCCATCGTCACTGACAACGTGGCGACTAAGGTGGTCCATCGCCAGCATTTTGATGGCCATGACCTTTCGGCTTAGGCCACCGAAACAGGAGCTGTTGCCAAGCTTCAGTAAGCTTCAGTACGACGGACTGCGGTACCTATCTTCAAGGACATTCTAACAAGAACAAGTGCTGGGGGCGGGGGTTGGTTTTCTTTTGTGCACTTGTTGCCGAGAAAACAAAAGACAAAAGGCGCATGCTTCAGATCAACCTCCCCAATGGCGTTGCCGCAGCGTCTAGGGAACTGGCCTTGTAGTCCCCGATGAGGGCCTTCAAGCTGCAGGGTAGAGGACGAAATTTGGACCGGGCGGGGGAGGGGGGAAGGGTGGATTCAAATTATGGAGCCTGAATTATTCCTGGTGGGTCTCCTTTTGGGGGGCTCTCTGCGAAACTGTTGCATGCTTCTTGCTATGCTTTATAGCCCAGGGTTGAGGCTACAAAAATTGAAGCCCTGAACCTTCTTATTTTGCTGTAACGCGTCGGCTCGGGAGTGAGTTTTTGTATTGGCGATCATGAAGCCTCCATGCCAGCGTCTCCGAAGATTAAGCATTAAGCATTAAGCATCCCCCACCCCCTTCCCGAATGCAGTATGTAAAATGCACAGAATGTGCTCACATGAAGGACACACCTACTAAGTCTATCAAGACGGGGTTGAATACGTCTCATTCGGCCCAGCTGCCGGAATGGAGGCAGACTCTGGCCCCCCCCGGCCCGAAGCCCCAAAAATCCTAAATCCCAAGAACCCAGAGAACCCTAAAGCTCCAGAAGCTTTCAGCGGGCGCCCCACCCCCTCAACCCCCCCCCCCCCCAGTAGGATCCCCCAGAACCCATGACTTCGCTGCTGAGGCGCCTTCACCAGGCCACGGAAATCTTGACCTCAAAGTGCCGAGAAAGCGAAGCTTGGAGAAACTTCGAAGTTCATGGGTATGAGGGTTCGCTATCTCTATGTATTTGTATATGCATGCTTGCGTATGCTTGCGTGAATATCTGTGTTTGCGCGTTTTTTCTTGGGGGGGGGGGGGGTGGGGGGGAGGCAGGGAAGGGGAAATTTACGGTTCGTGGTCACAGGTTCGGCTGATGGTTCTAAGGTTTGGGTTATAAAGCCTTGAGAGTCCAGTTGATCATTTCGAGGCTCACTGGCTGCGAGCTTGAGACTGAATGCTTCAGGCTTTGCCTTGCCATTGGCCCGGAGGGCCCACTGCAGTTTCTAGCAGAGACAAGTTGCTTCAGCAATCTTCCATGTTGCAGCAGTGGCTTGCATTCAACAAATGCCCATGAAGGAGCATGTCTTCGTAACTACTGCGGCAACAGCGAGTATACAGCACTGTGAACCACCCGATAACCCACAACCTTGAACAAGTAATAAACACACCACCCTGGCACGCCCCACCCTCCCGAACCCCCTAAACCCCCAAAGATCACCAAACCCTAACCCCTAAACCCTAAACCCTAAACTTTAAACCCTCACCTTGGAAGGGTCGGGGAGCCCCTAAAGCTCTGCAGCCAAATGTGCGCACTCCCAGGATCTCCAAGCCGGTGCGCTCGACAACGCGCGCCTGCACGGCCTGTAGAAGGGGCTTCCGATTCTTAGGGTTTAGGGTTTGGGGTTTGGGGTTTAGGGTTTAGAAGTCTAATTAGGGTGTAAGGCTTGAAGGGTTTTTGGGGACGTTTAGTGACGATATATGGTTTGAAAGCTTGGGCTTTGGCGGGAATTTAGGCGTGTGTGTTAAGCTTTTTTCTGGAATATTTAAGGCTTCGCAGCCTTACGCGGTTCAGGGCGTCAGAAGGTCGACTGAATCTTAATGGCCCTCGTCCCGATGTGAAAACTGAGGGTGCAGGGTCGAAGCCAATAAGCCCTAAACTGGGGTCTGCTTTGTTTTGGATCGAGAAAAAACCCTCGACCCAGACTGCAACCCCAACTTAGCCCAATTTAACCCGAAATGCTTTCAAATACGAACTCGTCTTCCTCGACACCCTCTGCCTGACAGTCGAGGAAGGCTTCCGCCACCTGAAGGGTTCGGGGGGGGGAAGGCTTCCATAGGGCCATAGGGGCTCTCGGAGTTTCGGGGCTCAGAGGGTTTCGGGGCTAAAGGCTCATTGCGCTTAGGGTTGACACATTCATAGGATTTCGTAGGGTTGGAGCCAAGACTCCCGGCAAGAACCCATTGCGCCGTATTAAACCTTGAGCCGTATAAACCCGAAACCTCGCATGCAAGCTGCCGAACACTGACATGCACAAGTCTGATTCTGATCTATAACAGAAGTCCTATAAACCCTAACCCCACAACCCCACAACCCTAAACCCGCAACCCCAAGCCCTGAACCCGAAACCGTGCCCCGCACCCTGGGCCGAGAACAGGAAGGCCTCTTTGAGGTATCGGGCCGCCCCCGGCTTGTTGTCGTGGCCATAGTGGACCTGAACGCTGTCGTTCTGGGGCCTGGGTTCCTTCTTCTCTCTTACTCTCGCTCCCCCTCTCACACCCTGAGCCCCGAACCCCTAAACCCCAACATCCCTATAGACCCCTAAGCCCTTACGAAGCCCTTTCCTCTAAGACACGAAGCTTTGAAATGAAACCCAGTCAGACTCCCAGGGTGGGAGACCTGGAGCCTCCGGGTACCCGGCAATCGTTCGCATCAGCCACTTCAAGTGGTTCTCCATGGCCTAAGTCAAACACATCCTCAATTGATTCAGCCCCAAACCCGAAAACACATTGGGGGTCGGCTGAGGATGGAAGGGCTTGAAACAGCTTTGACTTCATCAGGGTCGGCTTCAGGTTTAGGAAGCCTAACATGGGATTTCGGAGCCCGCGCAACGGAGGCGCAACCCAGCAAAGCTTGCGGGTCCCCTCAGACCGGCACCGTACCACTGAAGGCCCGGAGACCGCCAGAGTAGGCCGTTGCCAGGAAGTTCAGGGAATACTGTCCCGGCCTGGACGTGGGAGCGCCCCATAGCAAAATAGAAAAGAATGGGAACCCTATGACGTTCACTCACAGCGGCCTTGCTACGTAAGGCGCGGCTCTTGGGCCACGACTTGGGCCCCTGAACACCTATAATACCGAGTACAGGGGTTAGAGGCCTGGACCACTTTCTGAGGCTTAGGGGGTGTTGTATACGGGGCCGAGTGAACATGAAAGGGTTGTTCATGGTAACTTTTTTCTTTACAGAGTACATCAGGGGGGTGGGGCTCATCTTAAGGCAACTTGCAAAGGCTCCTGCGCAGTGCGGTTCGGTTTTGCTCTTGCGGAAGTCACCAAGCATGCTCAGGACGAGACTGGTCCCGGAAGAGGAACTTCTGGACTCCAGGCACCTCAGAGAAGGAAGCTTTTTTTCCAGAAAGCCCTGGGTCCAAGGGGGCCGCTTTCTGTTTTGAAAGGGCCTGAACCTCATAAGTGCCCTTAATGATGACGCAGGCATGCTGACGCGCGAATTTTCGTGCACCATGACTGGTGGAGGCTGCTACTATGGCTGCTGTGGAAGCTTCGACCATTCCACGGTTCCGTGTCAGCGACCTTGCGTGGAGATCGGGTGTGATCGGCTACTCCTGCCCTCACGGATGCTATACTAACCATGAGACCCAAACCCTAAACCTGTTCACTCCCTTTCGCATGCTTTGGCCCAAACCCTGAACCTGTATAAGCCCTCAGAACTGCATGGCATCAGCTTGAGAGCAGGCAGGGAGCATGGTCCTTGAAGACCTTCTTCACCTCCTGCGACAAGGGCGACGTTCGGGGTAAGGCTTCGGCCCTAGGCCCTATACCCTAATCCTATAAACCCACCCACCCCCCCACACCCCGCACCTACACCCACCCCCCAAGCCAGGACAGGGGTTGGGCACTCCAAGGGTTGGGCGCATATTTTGTTCCCTGGCTTGACAAGGGCACGGATTTCTTGAAACGAGGAAAGAAGAAGTGCACGACTGGGCAGCCTCGTACACGAAACACGAAGCACAGCGAAGCCCGAGCTCGCGCAAAGAGAGACCATGGCCTCCTGCGAAAGCTTCTCCTTCTCCTCCGTCGCTTCCGCGGGAAGGGGTACCTCCCAGGTATGGTTCGGAATCCCAAGCCCTGAAACCCGAAAACCTTCAAGCCTTCGAGCTCTCTCAAATGTTAGAACGGTAGATCCTCTACCCAAGACCCTGCAGCGCGGCGAGGGACCCCCAAATTGGGCCTGAGCCCTGAACCACCTGCAGATGAATGCGACGGGTTTCAAGTTGGGTAACCCGAAACGGAAGAGTTTTTGGATTTAGGGCATGGTGAGGCTTTTTAGCGTATGTGTTCTGCACAGGGTTGATCTAAGTCATGGGCTTTTCTTGGGGTACCCGAGCCTATGAGGCCAGTAAGGAAGCCTTGAGCCCTAGAAGCCCGAACCTCCAACATTAAAAACCCTGAATGTTGAAGTCATCAAGGGTTTAGGGTTTAGGGTTAACATTAAAAACCCTGAATGTTGAAGTCATCAATTTAGGGTTTAGGGTTTAGGGGTCAGGTCGTTCCGCCTGCACGCCCTCACTGAGCAGAAGGTTCACCAAGTTCTCCAGGCGCTCTTCGCCTCATTGGCTTCGGCGGTTTTTGCAGTTCACAGAGTTTAGGGTTTACAGGCGGGGGACCACACCCTCTGCACCCGACTCCACCTCATGATCCCCCAAGGCTCTGAGGACTCCTGTTTTAGGGTATTTGGGCCCAAAGGCCTTCTTATGATGATGTTGATAATATGATAAAGCTACGATTATTCATACTACTAGTAGTAACGTAATAGAAACACTAATAACAATAGCAATAATAATAAGAATAATCTTAATCATATAAGTGTTTTGAGCCTAAGGGATCTATCCGTCGGGGAGCGTTTGGGAAGTTCCGTCGGTGCCCCTGCGCGCAGCTTGCTCAGCAGGTCGTCCTCGTCGACGTCCTCTCCACCAGGCTCTAAACCCTAAACTCTACACCCTGAACCCTGAACCCTGTAACCTGTAACCGTACACCCTTTTTGGGTAGAGATCGTGGGCCTCAAGGTTACCTTCAGGGAATTAAGTGGGCCTTGGATTGGGGGCGCATGCTTCTGGGGGCCTTACTTAGTCAGAAACAGGAGCCACCCTGCATACCCCAGTCATGGCTTTAACTGCGTAAGCCCATTTGCGTTCAGTGTTTGTGGCCGGTGGTCTGGAAGCAGCCCAATCTCAGATACAAGCAGGGCTGAAGGTGTAGGCTGTAGGATCCAGGCCTTAGGAATCCTTCGGAAAAGGGCGACCCGACAAGTCCTGCAATCCTACCCCCCCCCCCTCCACTCTCCCCGACACTGCGTCCTCGTCCTCGTCGCTTTCCTCTACAAGTCGAGAGCTTCTAAACCCTAAACCCTAAACCCTAAACCCCCAACCCTAAACCCTAAACCCTAAACCCTAAACCCTAAACCCTAAACCCTAAACCCTAAACCCTAAACCCTAAACCCACGGGTTGGCGAAGCTCAAAGACTTGTTGTAATGATGAGGGAGACACACAGAGATACAGCGAGTTTGAACCTGAAGCATCCCTAGGCCTTTCACCCTACAGGGTTTAGGGGTTTAAGGGGTTTAGGGGGTTTAGGGGTTTAGGGGTTTAGGCCTAAAGTTGAGGGGTTTAGGGGTTGCGGGGTCTAGGGGTTTAGGGCTTAGGGTCTAGGGCAACTTTCAGCCCTAACCTCCAGAAAATCCCCGGGGACGCTTCCTCCTCGTCTTCTTCTGGGACCTCATCCTCCTCGGTTTCCTTGATCTCCTTCATAGGGGCTCCGGGGGTCCCAGCAGACGAGGGGGCTTGGGGTTTCGGGCTTACTGGGGCTTAGGAGGATTGAGGGGCCTGTGCGGGAGTAGGGGTTTACGAGCTTAATCAACCATTCTCACCCACTAGAACACAATTATGCTACATCGGGGCCCTAAACACTAACCGCGGCCTGAGGGTTGCAGTCGGTCAAGCTCAGGGTTTGTTCAGGGTTGGGGCAACTCTGCGTCGGATCAGCTGCCCACGGTGCTGCCAATGGCTGCTCTGAATCATGGCCGGGCGGCGCGACACATCATGGTGCGCGTGTTGATCTGCATTCCCCTGGGAGCAAAGGAGGCAGAACATGGCCGACTTGTCTACTTTACCCAATGGCATGGAAGACGATTGATGATTTGCGTGGTGCTTGGGACAGTCAGACCTCCAGTGTTTCATGGCGCTTCCTGTTGCATGTGGAAGCCACCCTCCACAAACATGAGGTTATACAGAGTCTCGACCAAAAACTCAACAACGACAAAACAGAAAATGCTCCTCTTTTTAATTGATGTGAGGGGGGGGTTCTTCTTCGAAGGGTTCATGAACATTGTGGCTTTTGTTGCTGTTGCTTTTTGGTTTTGCTGTTGCTGGCCTCGCAACATAGGCAACCTCAAAGCCTGGCAGGCCTATGCGGCACCAGCATATGTGTACATGTCCGAATCTGTATGTCATACATATATGATATACAAGAGTGCAATACGAGATTGACTGGAGCGGTATACAAAAACATGTTTCAGAAAATTATGACATACGTACATACATACATACATACATACATACATACATACATACATACATACATACATACATACATACATACATACATACATACATACAATATATAGCTTCGAATACAAAAACTCCGTATATGTATGTATATGTATATATATATATGTACTTGTACACCAAACGAAAAAGGCACTCTTGCTCGCCAAAAGGCATCTCGAAGTCGATTCGGTAGGGCTGCCCACGGGCCTGGAACTCCACCTCGGCAGCTTGGGGGTTCAGGTCTTAGGGCTTCATGCGAGTACTTAAATTATGGGATTAGGTAAGTAAGCTATCTCTCTCTATATATATATATACGTATACACATGTACGCATGTAGATATACATATATACATATGTATTTATGCAATTCTATATTTCTTTGTTATACCGGATGCTGTATTTCACTTCCTTGGGATTAAGGATTTGGGGCTTCAGGCTGCGACTTCAAGTATGTTACCAGTTCAGGTTGAGGTTTTGGGGTTTATGGTTTAGCGCAGAGGCTGTGCGTCTAAGTGGGCACTGAACCAGCCACCTCATAACTCCATTAAAATAGTCAATGACACCTATAAGAAGACCCAAAGCCCTAGATGGCATTGGGCTGCCAGTTGTTTTGTGCCATTACACGCTTAAGGCCGTCTTCAGAGCCCGTCCTCTTGTGCAGCGTGGGGGCCTTTCTAGCTCAACAGTTTAGGGCGCAGTAGAGCACGGTTCTGCGATGCTGCAAGGTTCGAGGTTCACTAGCAGAGGACCCCCTTTCATGTCTTTTTGTTTAAGGGGGAATCTGACTTCTCTGTAATGTGGTTTACGAGGGAACGTAACCTCCGCTAGTTAGGTTCCAGTGCTTGCAGGGAGAAAGGGGTACCGAAGAAGGGCCTATAGAATTGTGTTGAATTGGAAGCCCACGTGCCGGAGTTCGCTGGTTGGTTTCCATCCCCCCCCCCCCCCCTCCCCCGCCCCCGTTCCCAAAAAAAAAGTCTTATGGAACCGGTGACGATCGTAGACGGTTCTGCAAGGGTTCTTGGTCACTACTGGTCCGTCTCCAATTGCTGTTGAGGTGCGGAGGTCTTTCCTTCGGCGCGCGCTTGGCGCAGCATCTCCTGATACAGATCCTAATATTCTTCCCCAAGCCCTAAGCGGTAAATTCAAGAGCATGTCTGTAGTCGGAAATGAGTACGAGTTGGCACAGGACAGTTGCAGCAACCCTAACTCCTGAACCACCTTGCGGCACTCTCACCCATGCTTTGCTGCCCGACCGCGCCCGGCCGCGCCCGGCGAGGAAGTCTAAACTACACCCTGAAGGGGCGTTAATGTGATTGGCCTGTACGTGGTCCATGGGGCCAGGCTCTTACTTGTAGTGTGACATGACGGGGCAGAAAGCTAGGTAAACTACGCCATCTATGCTATAATATAGAACCTCACACCCTATAATACGTGTATTAAAATCCCCCCGTGATGTTAAGTTTTCCCGTTCTAATATTCCTGTATCTGCGCAACACACTCTACCCATGAACCTTGCGCGAGGCCTGCGTATCGTTGTCCATGCGCACCCAGCTTCCCAAATTCACCCACCAAGCCTCAGCACGAAACGAGCTTCTTTGTGAGATTATAGGGTCTGGACAACAGGATGTACAATCCCGAATGCTTCCGAACACAGGAACGCTAGGTCGATAAGATAAGCACCAACACTGAGCGTCAGTGACAAGCAATTGCACTCCCAGGGGGTTCAAAAGAAGCGGCCTTTCTTCCAGGAGGCACGGGCCCCAAACACGCTAATGGAAAGGAACCATTTCTCCTCCCCCCCCCCCCGGCCGCCCCCCTTACGAAAGCCCATGTCAGCACTCCGGAGCCTTATACCTCAAGTCAGCGACGCTCTTTCAAACCAGTGTACATTGAGCAAGTGGGTGCCCGAAGTGCAGAAGTATAGACTACCCTGACAGCAGACCTGCCGCAGCTATGATTGAAAAGCTGACAGGGGTCATCTGTTCCGGGTTGAAGTGTGTGCGTGAGTGAGATGCCTTTGGAAGTTCTCCTAGACTCATAGCCAGGAATACCCACATTCCTGCCTGCAAAGCCACCCCCCCCCCCCCCCCGCGACCCTCTAGGCCCCAAGCCCTAAACTCCCGGGCCCCAAAGACATGCGAAACTCACCCGACTGCATTTACGACTACTTATCGGACGAGCGTTTGGAGCTTTATGCGGACTCTGTACCACACCCTCAAACGTAAAACGTAATTTTCCAAAACGCCCCAAACTCCCAGATCATTCGAGTCCGCAGCGGTCTGCTTCGTGGCGGCCGCTGGGGTTGGGGCCTGTGACAGAGAAAGCTTCTGCTGAGACAAAGAAGGGTGTATAAGGCCCAGGTTTATAAGGCTTGACGGAAGGATTTAAGGGTTTTAGTACCGATTGCACCTTGGGGTTTCAGGCTTTCGGGTTTTCAGGCGTAGGTGAGTGATTGAGAACCTTTGGACAGCCTTCAAAACTGCACCCCACCTCAGCCCAGCCCCACCCCGCCCCCTCCCCACCCCCCCCCCTCCCCCCCCCCTCCCCCCACCACCCCCAACGCCTGACCGCCTGACTCAAAACACACATCTCTAAACCGAGATTGGACCCCAACCTACCCACAAGCTTTCTGGGAGGATCTACTTTCTCCCCCGTCCCCAAGATTGTTGACGACCCCAAACCCGAAAGCATCATTGCCCTATTGCCCCAAACCCACCGTGGTGACTCGGGGTCGCGTTTTTTGTATCGGGCCATGTGGCCACAGCCTCGGTCTTGTTGTCCCACAACGCCTCCAAGCCTGACCAAGGCGCTGGACTTAGGCTTCCGGGGCCTCGGAATTGCGTAAGGATTTCGGGCAAAGGGTTGCTATTTATGGAGTCGTATGGCTGAGGGTTTCGTAAGCTTAGGTTTTTCATGGCAAGGGCCTGGGGTTTGGAATCCCATGTGCCCATGGCGTTGGATCGTTCTTTGATGGTATTCTCGGAAATGTCACAAGAAGCGGGTTGGGGGGTTAAGGCTGTTCGAAGGCCCAGAGGCTTGTTTAGAGGGCCATCTTCTGTTTTTGTGAGTGTGTTTGAACAGCAACGGCTGACCTTGGACAGCAGATCCTCAACAGGTTCAAACCACCTGTGATATGATACAGTACGGGCGCACAGTGCCTTGATGTCTGGGACTGTTGCTGCCAGCGAGAATTACTTGGAGTCGCGAGTCACATCTCGAGACACTTGGAAGTAGTGAAGGCTCAGTGTACCCAATCAAACCAGCAAGCCAGCAATCCCTTTTCGGTGCCCAAGATTATCCCAAGATTCGGAGCCCGAATCCATTCTTGAAGGGGCGTGCTCACTTCGTAGAGGAAGCTTTCCAAATTTTTTTAAGGGGATGTAGGGACCGGTCTTGTGCGTACTGCGTGAGCTCCTCAGCCAGTCGGTGGGGTTGGCTGATGCACAGCACGCCGCTGGCTCGAGCTTGTCAAGTGGATGTATGGCTATCACGGCTTGAGGATTTTGCAAGAGCGCTGGCAGCCGCTGACAGCACCCGATAGCGAATCTTTGCTTCTGGCTGCACAACGTGGATGTCTAGCATGTCTCGCATGCTCGCCCTAACGCGTAGCAAGCAGGGCGAGCATGCCAGAAATGCTAGCTGCTAGACATTTCACATTCCAAAGCCACACGCAAAGATTTGCGAGCCGGCACAGGGGCTTGTCATGCCTCTCTGGAGTCTCGATGCAGAGGCATGTTTTCATAGAAAACCCTTAAAAAGAACCAAGCGATCAAGTTTTCAAGCGGCTCCTCCATGAGAGCCTAGTCTTCGGAATTGCAGCTTTAAGAGACCCCGTGATAAAAATCTGGACCCTTTCATTCAAAGCCTGAAGAAGACGAAGAATAAGAAGAAAAAAGAAGAAGAGGCTCCAGAGGGCGAAGGCGAGACTTTCCCGAGGGGTCACGTGCGCAAGTGCAGTGAGCGCAGAGAGTTGTGGGCTTCAAGGTTTGCAGAGGTTCTGGGTTTCTGGGTTTCCGGGTTCAGGGCCTCCCTCCGCCCAAACGACTTCCCTGCCGACCAGCTTTTGAAGGACATTCTTCGGGGGGCCCTTGCTATTCGGAAGAAGACTTGATTGGGGGAGGAGGGGGAAGATGGCTGGTGGACAGTTGTGTGCATGTGGCGCGCAAGTGTGTATCAGCGTGAGAGGGAAACTCGCTTCGATGTCGGCCCGAAACTGCTAAGGCCGCCCATGGGTGCCACGTTCCTTCTCCCACTCCGGCGGCCTCCGATTGGGCAGGGTAGCCCCGTCTCGCCTGAACAGGACTGGCACCCCCTCGCCTCCCACCCCCCTCACCACCCTCACCACCCCAACCCCAAAGTCCCAACGCTAAAGCCTGCAAAACCTAATATGTCAGCCCTAAATCCTTAACATGGTGTTCGGAGTTCGGAGGGATAGGTTGCCCACCTTCTGCCACCTCCGCGGAGTTTGGACGGTCCTCCTGGAGAGCGTGACGTAAGGCATTTTGGGTTGAACTAGAGTGCTGCAAGGCTTAGTGCATCAGTGCAGGCTAAATGTCAGCTCAGTGTTCTCTTGCCATTTAGCACGCCAACACTAACCCGTGTCAAAGCTGCCGGCTCACGAGGCCAGTGCCTGGCTAAAGACGGAGGCGCCTAAATGTGCACGTACTGCCTGCTGGGTGGTATGTAATTATCGATGTGAAAATGTATGAAATGGCATATGTGTGTATATACATATATATATATATATATTATAGAGAGAGAGGGAGAGCGACCAAGGGAGATAGCATACATGCATACATACATACATCCATACATACATACACATACATACATGCTTGCATACATACATATGCATACATACAAAATCTATTTATCCGTTTCTACGTATACGTGTGTGTATGTGTATATATACATGTGTGAGAGCGAGAGAGCATCTTTCTTTGTTTGTAGTTATGTATGCTTATATTTTGCTCTATTAAGATGTGATCGTCTATATTTAACATAACGACTATACTCAATTTTGTGTGAGAGAGCGAGGGATGCGTGGCCTGTTCCTGAGTGTTTTGTTGTACTGATTATATGCGCTTTCAACAATGTGCTATCAATGATGTTTTTTGTGCGCAATGCGTTTCCTTGTCAGCTTGATTTCTTGCTCATTGTTTTTGTTGGACAAGTTGCTGTCTCCTTGTGTTTTGCACGCTGCAAAGCATGCGCCCAAAAAACGGCGGCGGCGTCAGCACAACCACCCCAAACTCGCACCTTCCTATCGCGAACTGCTTGCTGGCCCTGCGCTCCTCTTCCTCCACCGCAGGCTTCGGCAACTCTGTGCCGGCCTACAGAGATCTATTTGCGTGGTCAGAGAGGGTTACACCAAGGCGGAAAAGGGCTCTATGTCTTGAGCTGATGTTGGAACACAACAGCAGTAAGAAAATCAGGAAACATTGCTAACCAACACGAGGCAGCCTTTAATAACCGCCTAATCCGTTCACGACCGAACTTTAAAAAACAAAACAAAAAACAAAAAGACAGCAGATGAAAATCAATGACTGCGTGAACCTTTGGTTGGTGAATCCAAGCAAACCAAAGTACATCCCAAAGCCCATGCATCTAACTTCTGCAATAAGACAACGACCATCGTGACACCTGAAGATTTGGAGGAAAGCGACCACATGACAGCACAAGGATTTCAGCGTTCCATGTTTTAGGGCTCCCGGGCTGCAAGGTTCGGGGGTGTGGGCCGAGGAGTGTAGGCCAGGCAGGTCTGGCTCCAAAGGCTATGACTAAGAGTCCAGCCCCTACCCCTGAAACCCACAAGTCCATGAATTCTTGATGGTTTTTGATGAGTTTGAGGCCAAGAGACCTCGATATCGTCGTTCCAAGGAGTCCACGTCTTCTCATTGCTTTCGTTGCCAGGCGCCTCAGAGAAGTAGGCTTCTGCTACCCATGTAGTGTTGGGGCCCATTCAGGCCCACGAATGCTACGGCTCTGTCAAACTCTGAGGGGGTCCTTGCTGACTAGGGCTTTTAGGGTTTCTTCAGGGCTGCATCTGTGTGAACAGGGCTCGGTCCGACCTGGTACTCCCTTAGCTCGTTCGTCTCGTTCGTCTCGTTGATGATCGTGTCAACATCTTCCTGCAAACACCAAACCCTGGACCATACACCCGAAACACCAAGTCCAGGAGCTATACCGAAGAACCCTCCAGGTGCATGCTTTGGCAATGCAAACGCAAACTGCCGGAGTCCCGCGCATGTTGCAGCAAGAAGAACCATCGGGAAGACCCAGATCAAAACATGTATAATAGGCCCTCAAGCCCTAAACATTTCCCACCCCCAAAAAAAGTTTCCCCAGGGTGTCATGGGCCTTTCTGAAAGACACCCCTTGGGGAAATGCGAGTAATTATCTGGTGGTGGTTAAGCGCCCAATACCAGGCCTTTCAACCCCAACTAGCCTGTACCTGGTCTGGTGACTCTTGAAATCCGACCAGCGAGCCGCTCTCATGGTGTTTCAGAAGTGTTGCGAGGCTGCCATGTTTCTAGATCCGTGTTCACGCTACGTTCCCTAAACCCTAAACCCCAAACCCTAAACCCTAATCCCTAAACCCTAAACCCTACACCCTAAACCCTAAACCCTATCCGCAGCCTTTGCGAAGGTGGTCTCCCCATCACGCAGCGGAGTTGCCTCCTCTCGCACTTTGCAGCTGAAGGCTGACAGGGGTGGACTCCTCAACCTAAAGGGTTCACTATACTTGTAAAACATAAATGAACCTTTATATGTATACACATGTATTATGTGTGTATATATATATATATATATATCACGCACACACACACACACACACACACACACGTTCCCTCAGCTCATTGTGAACCCTGGAGGGCAAAGTACCCAGTGATAGCCATAAAGCCCTGATATCTGAACCCCGAGGCCAAGAGGTGTAGGCTTCAGGGTTTAGCTTTTAGGGGTCCCTAGCCCTCCAACGGATTGAAGCCGTAAAATCATAAGGAATTGCACGTGCTTCCCAGGTCATACAGGCGTTAGGAAAGAGGTTTCCGCGTAGGGCTTGGGGCTGATTTTCAGCCCAACACCTTTTTTGACTCCAGGCTCAGCCGGATTCGAACTTACTGACAATCTGTGAAAAGCACCAAACCTCAAAGCTTCAGATTCCTGACAAAGTCCAGGTTGGAACTTTAAACCCTGAAAACACACCGGAAAAAAGCTCCTCTTGAACCAATACTAAGCGAAGTATGTAGATATCCCAAGGGCATACCTAGAAGTGAGGTGCTCGGAGCATTTCTGGCTTATGAAGTATGGGCCCACTCCTCGCGCAGTCGCAAAGTGCCGGGGGTCATCCAAGACAAGACGCCCAATCCCTGAGCGGCGCATTGGCTGACTCTGTTACGTGTGGGTTTGAGCTTGAGGGTTTAGGTTTCTAGGGTTAGGGGTTTGGGAGCTTGATAAGTGGAAGCCAGACTCCCCCAAAAACAGCGGGAAAGGGAGGAGGTGACTTCTGGGCATCCGTTGGAATGCGGCGAAAGCATATGCAAACCCGAAACTATCAGTGCTGCTTGGTTCTGGGCCTTTTTGGGGATCGTGTCATGTCGCACAAAAGAGGTAGCTTTCAGGCTCTCATGAAGCTGGAATCCGAGTCAGCTCCTCCTCATATTCACCCCACCAAAAAAAGGACACAGCCCCTGGTGTCGCATGCACGCCCACAAGGTTGCGGCTGCCTCTGTAAGGAAGGAGGGGAGGCTAAGACTCGGAGGAGAACAAGGCCGGATTTTTTTTTTCCCCCGGGGTGGCTGGTCTTCCTATAAATGCAGCCGAACGTTCTCTCTGAGCACCAGGTGCCTCAGCCATCTGCTAGATAAAAAGCCGTTGCGAAGCTGGCTAGGGCTTGATGCGGCGCCAAAGCGCCCGGTCAAAGAACAGGCCGGGCCCATAACAGTGCACAGCTTGGGCAGGTCCGAAAAGCAAAGGGCGTAAAGTCCATTATGCTGGAGAGTTTGTTTTGAGCGCTCCAAGGCTTGATTCCACAAACCACTCAACGCACCCAAGCCATTCCCACCCTCAAGGATCTCATGTGGAAATCAGCTACCAAGCCCAAATCCCTGGATAAAACCGGACACATAAACTTCCGAGAAGATCCCAGCCTGTGCGACCCCCGCGTTGCTCTTAAATGGTCTATTGGGCCCCCCGACGTACTGGCGCAGGATGGCGAAGAAGGACCACAGGCTTGCACGGAAGTTTTGGAGCAAGCCAACCATCCGAGCTCTGGAAAAGAGGCGCTGAAAAGCAGGCCTTCAATCCCAGGAGGAGAGCCACGTGACACAATCGTGGCAGTAGTGCTCTGTCATCCTGTACTGTTGAAACTGCTGATATCGCAAGGGTGTCTTCTGCTGCTCACAGTGTCACAAAGTGTCACAAGAGGGGCCCAGCGTCAGCAACTGTGGGCCAGAAAAGAGGAAGGCGAGCAGACGAGTTCTGGAAGGATATATTTTTTTTTAGATGAAGTGTAGCCTTTCGGTACATGTACTATGGGAGCCGATCTAATTCATCACAACGGCGAAGTTGGGCAGCTCCTGAGTCTGCATACTGTAGGGGTCGGAATAGTTACTAATAGTGGTCCCTATATAAGTATATTGTATTAACCCCCAAAACCTTATTAAGGCCCCTATAATATTAGTCGCCCTAGAAAGGCAAGCCTACAAATCAATGATCACCCACAAGCTGCTAGGACAAGCTGGCGCCATCTGCCACGACACCACTTGCCCTCACAACATGTGATGCATGCAACCGACTCAGACAGGTTTCTGTCCTCAAGGAGGTGCAGAGATGCCGATGCTGTCCACAGCCCGATCGACTACGTTGGCTGTCGTTTTCTGGTGGTAGCAGACATGGGCTTCGAAAGCTTTATGGAACCTTATGTGTTACAATGCCATGGCTCAGAAGCTGGAGCTATGCACAGGAGCTTCATGGATCTATTGTAGCATTGCAAGCGCTGACATGCAAAAGCCTGGCTGCAGGCCTGTGGAAGGATTCCCTGCAGCTGGGATGCCAGCATGGCATGTGCCACATGCACATCCATGCCTGCATGCAAGGAGTCTAGGGCTGAGGGCCCTGTAAACCCCAAACCCCATCCCAAAGCTTGAATGCTCACTGTATACTCAGGACTTGGAACCATTCAAGACTTTAGGCACCCAGTTCTCCCTCATGGAGAAGGCCCAAGGGTTTGCAATCGGGGGCCGCTGGCTGCATGACACTCTGTCTGCAACCCTCGAAGCCCTAAACCCTCAACCAGTGGGCTCTCAGCCTCGGCAAGGAAGCCCTATCTGATTTCGGGCTCCAGGGTCAGGGCTTGGGGAAACTGAGAGCTGAGACTATGATGGGTGGCATGAGAGACAGCTCTGTGCTTGTTGCCTTCTGAACCTGGACCGGGCACGATGGCAAGTCAGAGTCATGCTAGAGTACGCTTGAACTTCCGTGTGGGGTCCCAAGCCATTCTGCATGGGAAAAGAAGTTAACGAGAAGTCCGAAAATATGAAATGGCAATATCGTGTGGCTGGTCCTGTTGCCAGCAAAGGCCCTTCCAAAAGCCGAAAACACACCCGTGTCGTTCTAAGCAAGCTCGATTGCCATTTAATGACTGCTAAAACCGCTAGTTTGACCCGCTGCCCAAGAACGCCACAGGCCTGATGGGTCCGGTACCTACCAGGAGCTTGGCGGGATAAGGACAATGATGTGGATTCTGCCACTTGCTGCGATTATTGTAGTGTCACTATATACGAGTACAAGAGGGCTCAGGAAGCTTGTTGGGTTCATGGAGGCCGCTAATGGCAAAAGTATGCATGGAGCACGGCAGAGGGGCTTGGCTGGCGAACTCCGGACCCTGCGATCCCCAACACTTCAACAGAGCGTGAAGCAAGCGTTGAAGCTTTCAACCCAATTTCGCTTGAGCCTTCTTCCCGATAACCCCTCGAAGCTACCAAGGGGGTTCAGGGCTTCGGATTCCGAAAGCAGTTGCAACCTCGTCAGCCGTATTGAGTTGGAGGATCCGCTCCGTGATCGCCTGCAGACGTGTTGTGTCGATTAAATGTTTCGGGGTTCCGGATTTCGGGATTCCCTATAGAGGTTAGTGTGGAAAAAGAATGTAAGATTCCGGGTTGAGTGTTCATGAATACCCAAGGTACCGGATCTGCTGCCCCAAAAGGATCGATAAATCCCATAGGCCATAAGCCTTCCAAGAACCCAAATCCTACACCTTGAGCCAGACCCCGCCTACACCCTAAACCTGAACTGAAAACCCTGTACGAGGGGGCAGGATCCTGAAAAAATGCCGAACATGCGGAAAATAGATGTTCCAGGGTTGTGGGGTGGGTTGGGACTTCACCTTGTGTGTGTGTGTGTGTGTGCGTACGAAATCTTGCCGAACCCCAATCGCGGGGTTTGGAGCAGGGGTTTGGCCGTGTAGGATGGCCATCGATCACAAAGACCTAGCTTGCACAACAGCCGAGCGCTTCTGGGGGCCTCGAAGACCTGTCTCTTGAAGCCTTTCGGGTTCTTTGAAGAATTCAGGTAGTCCATCGAAATTGCAAGCTCTGAGAAATTGAAGTTTTTTGTAGCCCCTCGAAGTTGCAAGTTCTCAGTGAATCACGGGGGCCTGTTAAGGCCTTTGAAGACTTGCTGAAGTTGAAATGTTGGGGCGTCTTAAGGCCTTTGAATCATTGTTCAAGTAAATGGAATATTTTGCCTGTAACAAGCTCCCCAAACATGCCCCTATACACTTCAGTCTGTTGTAGCCTTGCCTGAGGGTTGAACTGCACCTCTGCCTTGAAACGCACCTGGGGAGGTCCGCAACTTCAAGAGCTGTTTCCCTGGGCTGACTGCAGACCAGGTGTGACTCAGATCTCCGCAGTATCGACGCCCACAAGCTCCGTCCTCAAGAGCCGCAGGTCACCAAGCCAGCGGTGGTCGCAATGTCGTCGTGTTCATGAGGGAAGATGCCAAAACAGAATTGTCGCTGGGCACCGAACTTCACGTCATAGACATTGACCACCTGGCACGAGCGCCAGACGCACAGTGGGCTTAGGGCTTAAAACGTGGGAACCAACGCTTGCAAGCTCCAATCAGCAGGTGCAAAGCGTGAAAGTGTTTTAATGTCGGCTCGTCGAGCAGAAACACGTCAGAGCCATGTGTTTTGGTGTGTTCAGGCTTGAGGCCCTGACGGCGACGTGAGCCTCCAGCTTGTCGATGAGGGCCTGGCAGGTCAAGGAGAGGTGGATCACCGACACCACACCGGTATGAAAGCCGCTCCAACACCCGAAAAGCCCAAAACCCTAAACCCTAAACCCTAAAGATATTCCGGCCTTCACCCTCCAGCGAGGAAGAGTCTCACCGAGCAAGGCGTTTCCACCTGTGGAGAGTTTTAGGATACTTAGTTGCTGAGTTCATAAGCCCCCCAAAAAAGTGTACTCACTCAGCTACTAAGGATACTTAGGTGTGGGTTCCAGACTTATGGTTTGAGGATTTGTGGGGTTTATAGATGTAAGGTTTGGGGGTTCTACGGGGTGCAGGGTTTAGAGTTTAGAGGTCAGGTCTTGGCGGTGTGGGGCTTTAGGATGCTTGATGGGGTTGGCTGGGGCTTTATGACGCTTAAGGCTTCGCGGGGTTTCAGGGTTTAGGGGAACAGGGTTCTAGAATGCTTTACGGACTTCGGCTTAGGCGTTTAGGGTTTGTATTGGGTTTAGGATGGTATAGGAACTTGGGTTTAGGATGGACATGGCAGATGTCACGCTGCAAGGTTCTGCAAGACCGGCTTTCAAAAATTTAAATCATTTAAACCCCACCGGCCCGATCCTCAACGCTTGTACCGCAACAACTCTGCGTTCGAAGTAGTCGCACCTGGGGGGGGGGGGCTCTATCACCAGAACTGCTGCGACCCATCGTGGAAACTGCACGATACATGGGGACCAACCTCGCTGCCCTGGAACCAGAATTCTGAACCCCAATTCCTATGCCCTCCCGGACTCTGAGTGACAAGCTTTTCTGCAAGAGGAAAACGCTGACACAACTGACCTTCGTCAGGTTTGGGGTTTAGGGAGTTTAGGGTTTAGGGAGTTTAGGGAGTTTAGGGCTTAGGGAGTTTAAGGGAGTTTAGGGCTCAGGATGCCACATTGTACACCAGACTCTCAAACAGGGGAGGGGGGGTGATCTGCCTTACGGTTCCAACATACCCCCGTCATGTCGAGACATGACTGGATTTGAGCTGCTTGCCCACACTCAACTCCCTAAACCCTAAGCCCTAAACCCTAAGCCCTAAGCCCTAAACCCTAAACCCTGAACCCTAAAACCCTAAACCCTAAACCCTAAACCCTAGCTCCAGCCAGTGTGACTTCAGGGCCGAGGCGATCGATGCCATGCAGATAGAGGCCACGACATCCTCGAGAAGGGTGCGTGGGTGAACCATGTCATGTGGGGCTACGGAAGATTTGGGTTTAGGGTTTAGGGTTTCTAGGGTTTAGGGTTTAGGGCTTAGGGTTTAGAGTCTAGAGTTTAGGGATCTGAATGGAACCTCTCAGCCCCCGGTCCCATCCCCCCCCCCCAACACAAGAAGAAATCGACAACTCGCACCTCGATTCCATAAGACAAGTGGCCGGTACACCACTCTGAAGGTGGTAGGACAATCCCAGGCCTCCAACAGGGCTTCTTCGCGTATTCTGGTGAGGGCTTGGGAGTTACTTTCTAGGTACTCCTGTGGGTAGTTCTCAAATTAGGGTCCCTTTTGGGGTCCTTATTGTAAGGGCGCCGTACACGTGTCATGCCAGTGGTGTCTCCTGTACAGCGTGCGTCTTTCGCAGAGGAGTATCCAAGCTCCACACGTTTTAGGAAGTGACCGCAGGCATGACATGACAGGTTGAAAAAATTTCTTGGGGCTGCTGGACTTCGAGGGAAGGAGCCCGTGGGCCTCCAGCTAGGACCGCCAGGAGTTGGGGCTTAGGGCTTCTGGGTCAACCTCAAAGCCCAAAACTGCAGCTGCCGTGCACCGTACAAGCTCGCAAACCCCAAAGGTGCTCTTCAAAACCTCCAGCACACAGGCAGTCGAAAAGGGCTTGGCCCAATTGCCAAAGCCACATCAACACCCCGCAAAACAGCTGAAAACCAAGCCTCCCCTCAGGTTTAATTGAGGTGCAGGGTTGATTGCAAGGCACAAGTTCCCATACTCGAGGACGTAGCCTATGTAAGGGGCCCTTATTCTCCTTTTAGGGGC